ATTGGTGCTCCACCCAAGAGATGAAAATATTTTTAAAATCAGTTTTGAGGAGAGGTTCTATGCAAACGAAAGGAGAGGTTATGAATCTACACTGTATGGAGTCTGCAAATGGGTTTTCCAGATTTATCAAATGAAGATGAGCAAATCACTCACCAGATATAGCCAATGGGACTTCAGAATACCTAGTCACATTGGAATCGCAGAGGAATAACCAAGAATCCACATACAGAAACATATGTAGTATTTGGGCCCTTGTCCTGTAAAAGCAGTGCCCGGAAGTTAGGCATACCTGGACTTGATGGTCCTCCCCTGAGCCCTGAACTAGCTCACTCTTTGCAGGAAGGAGCTTGCTAGCTTTGCTCTTGAACTCTACAGCGTGATTAGGAGTGCCTGGAGCTCGGTGAGCATTCACTACCGCGTTCCCAGCATTAACATAACCGGGATGTTTACCAGCGTATACTGGGCACCTGCTGGTGTGCTGAGGCAGTAGGTCTTTGTAGGAGACACTAGCCGGGTCCACATGCAGGTATATAGTGAGAGGCCAAGGCAGGGTACAACCAGGGAAAAGGGTCAAGCAGAGCAGAGGACCAGACATTGCCTGCAAGGTCATATTTAGATAGGGTGGTCAAAGGGGTCCCTCCAAGGAGATGAGCTGACCTAGCCTGGATGATAGAGTGGGAGGTGCGGCTAGGGGGGAATCCACAGCGCTCATGGTATGCCCAGGCTCATTCTGAACATGGTGTCTGTCTGGTTCATGGAATTCTCACACCCATCCCCATTTCACAGATGAGGAAACCTGAGACCACCTGGCAAATGGCTGGGTTGCAGCTGCTGGCTCTTCTTCCAAGGGTTGTGTTTCTTAGCTTTTGTCACTAGAATGCCTGCCTCATCTTGACACCTGCTGTGTGCAGGCAGGGAGAGGAGGTTTCCCTTTGAGATCTTTGCCTGTAATTTCCAAGATCCCCAAGGCATCCCTGAATGCTGAAGCACAGGGCTGTGGGCACAGTCTACTGTGAGGAAGGCAGGCAGGGACTGGTTCAGGTGAGCGGTCTGAGGGTCCCTGGCCCTGTACAGGTGGCAGGTATGAGAATGGGAGGAAAATAGCATTGACCCCAAAGCCCTTTTCTGGCTCTCTGGACTGGTTCAAGTGTCCCTGCTGAGATCAGCGCTGGCTCCCTCTGGTGATTAATCCTTCTGTTATTGCTGTTTAAATATTTGCAGGTGAAGGGAGAGAAGGAGGGAGAGCGGGGCTGGTTTCTGAGTGGCTGCAGGGTGGGGCGGGAGGTGGAGAGAGACAGGTGCGTGGAGACCTGACGTGGAAGGGGCGGGGCTGGGTCTGCCTCGTGGTTGAGAGGCTCTGGGAAGGTGGATCCGAGCTGAAGAGTTCCTGGCTGGCTCACCTGCTGCCAAGTACCTGCTGTGGATCAGTCTTTGTCATCTCAGCTTCTGCTGAGTCCCTGTACCATGTCAGGAAGGAGGGAGCTATGAGCATGATGGCCCTTCTTTCGCAGAAGATGCTGGAAACTTGTTCAGCTTACATAGAGTGGTGAAGGAGCGGACCCAAGGCCAGTGACTCAGCATGCTGGGCTCAGAATGAGGGCTCTGCCGCCTCCTGACACCTGACCTTCATGCCGATAAGCCAATTCCAAACGGAGTAAGCTCCTCATCATGCCTGGATGTCACAGCGCCCGTGAGAATGGACGGTCACTGTGTCCTTGGTTACTGTGACCATTTAGGGGGTCCCTCTTATAAAAGCCCCCCACCAGGTTGGCAGAATCTTGTCTAGGCCACCCAGGGCTCCTGATCCTTTTTTGGGTTTCCGAGTTGGGACAGGCCGAGGAAGCCTCTTCTCACAAATTTCCCAGCACCTGGGGTTTCCAGATGAGCAGGACTGGATAGGGTTGAGGTCATGGGACAGACCCAGGTCCAGGTCCTCTTTCCTGGGTCCTGTGACCCTGAGAAAATGCCACAAACTCTTTGAACCTTTGCACGTCTTTAAGATGGGAGTAACAGTACTCGGTGTGGAATGGTTCATTTATTCTCTTCCTAGCACCCGGCATACAGTAGGTGCTGAGTGAACATCCTCTGGGCCTTTAAGTGGGGGGTTAACAATGTCTTGGGTTAGAAATGGCCCTTCAAATTCTGCCCTTGAGAGAAGGAATCTGTGAGAACAAGGGCCCCTGGCTCTGACCCCTGCTGCCTCTTTATGACCTTGGGCTGCTTGCCTATTTGCCCCTACACCTTAGTGTCCCCACCTGTAAAATGGGACCATTTGAGCACTTAACCCTACTTGGACTAACCTGACTTAGCAGGTGCTCCAGAAAGCGAGCAGCAAGTTTTCTCACTCTAATGCTCCTACTGTGCACGAGGCCTGCCGGTCACCCATCACATCTGTGTGATCTGCTACTGCAGCCTCAAAGGGTGGCAGGCTCTACTGCCCAGGAGGAAAGAGGGAGGCGCCAGTGGGCACAGGACACAGGGAGGTTATCCTCACAGGCTGGGATGGGTGCCCAGATTCACCCAGCTCCCAGGTGTTTGTACCAACCACAGTGACTCCCCTTGGTACTCCCCAAACCAGGCAAGAATCTGGGAAGCAGCTTAGAAAGTCACACAGGCCCAGGCCTGTTCTCCCCCACCAACAACCCCACCCTAAGAATGGCGCCCTCCCACCCTGCCCCAATGAGTGGACAGTGTCCTGCTTACAGATGGTGCCCTTGGCTGAGGGAAGCTTCCAGTTTCACTCCAGTGCTAAAGCACTGACCTTTTTCATTTCCTCTCCTGGCTTCAGGCTGTCAGCCTGTTATTAGCTTCTGAGGGTGGATTTTCTAGCTGATGGTTGGGAGCCAGTGGGATGGGGCATCTCCACCAACAGGGAGTCCCAGGCTCCTCCTGGCTGTGTGACATCGGGAGAGGCTTTTGCCCTCTCTGAGTATCAAAAGCCACTGCCGTGTACAGACAACCTTCTCCACACCGAGGGCTTGCACTTGAGACTGCAACCTGTGCCCTTTCTCGTGCCACACACGTTCCACTCTCTTCCCTTCCCCACCTGCCAAGCTCTCTAATCAACTCGTCTTGCCCGAGAGTCACCCGCAGGGCTTGAGAACGTCCAAATTTCAGATTCGGTCATTCTAGAGAGGGGTCCAGAAGTGTCTAACCAGCTGTAAGTGGTGCTGCCTTTGCTACGTCACACAGCCTTGGATGTGGAGCCCCTGGCAAACAGCACTGACTAACCGCCCCATCTCTCTTTGCACCTTGCACTCAGCATCCCATAACCAACAAGAGGGGGCTGGCCTCTGCCTCCTGCCCAGCTGAATTCGCCATCATTTGCGCCGTTTGCGTTGGGTCCCTCTTCATGGCTGCTGCGATAGGTCTTTGCTCAGTCATGCTGGTGGACAGGCAGCAGTCAGGAGGTGAGGAGGAGAGAACAGCGAGGGAGAAGAGAAGCCACTCCCAGGGTACCAGGGGAAGCCTCAGCCAGGCGTGTGGGGAGTTCTAAGGGAGAACTTGGGATGCTCTTCAGATGCATCCAGCATTACTAACCCTGGGAAGGATTTGATCACTTCTGCCGAGGTTCAGAGGTGTAGGGAATTCTAACGCAGCTCAGCCTGTAACAGTGGGAGAGGTGAGGAGGCCACGGGACCTGCTGCCCAAGGGTGAGAGAGGAAAGATGAGAGGAAAGCAGGTGCAAGAGGTGGTGACATCTTAGAAGTGGGAGTGTAGCAGGGCAGGTCATAGGGGGTCAAATGGGGTCTTGAGGGGCATTTGCTGGTTGGTGGCAGAGCTAGAGCTGCCTGAGGCTGGCTTCCCTGCCCCCTGCCCGAGTTGAGAGAGAGCATGTTCAGACTTTACCATGTATCCTAAGGAAGTGTACGGCTTCCTTTTATGGACACAGAGCAGATGGGGCCTTGCGGTGGCCATGCTCACTGCGGGAGAGGACATGGGCAGGTGGCCAGGCCCCTGTGTCAGAGCATCTGTCTCCCATGTGGGTGGCAGGGACCCAAAGACTTCAACCAGGGTCTGATGCCTCCCCAAGGGAGCACATTAGCATGCAAGTGGAACTTGAACCCAGTCACTGTGATGGGGATGCAGGTGTCATGAGTAGCATTCCTAACAATCTCTGACTCCTGCGTATACTTGAAATCGTCTGAGTGGCTACAATGTCAACTCCATGTAAAGAGTCGCTGTGTTAGGTCAAAGTCAGCTCATGTCCATTATAGATGTAATTTTCCTCCAAATATCGTCCATCCAAAGTTGGTGGGACCCAGGGGTACAGGACCTACAGGTTCTGAGAGCCAAGTGTCTCTTGTCTGCATTTTTGTGCCGCCATCCAGTGTTTCAAGGGCATACTCCTTTAGGTCGCCCGGGAAGGTACCATTTCCCATGGAAGGCTCATTTTTGTGTATTTCTTTTTCAGCAGAATTCACCTGCAAAACAATGCCTGATGTGCAGGGAGGTGGGCCAGGAATGACTTCCGTCCAGGGCAGCAGGGGCCATTGTCCTGGATTTGGTCTGGCCCAGGCTGGAATCTGAATCCACTTGTGCTGGATTTCAGGGCTGATTTTTAACACAGTCCTTACTGGATTCCTTGATCCGCCTGATCCACTCATTCATTTGCTCATTTGGAAGGTGTTTCTTGTGGTGAGACCTTGGCCTTCATGGGGTTCCTAGAAAGAAGGGAGGGAGTAAGAGACAGATGACCAGTCGTTAACATGAGAAGGGTGATAGATATTCGAATGAGCTGCAATAGGGAATGGTGTGGGCAGGGCTGCTTCTGAGAACGTGGGCAGCAAAAGAGATGGTGTTTGTGTGACATCGGAAGAAAGCAGGGTTCCACCATGCAGAAGAACCAAATGGATGATGAAGTGGGAAATGGGTACCCACTGAGTCCCAGGCGTCCTGACAAAAAAGCTCATTGGGGGGCAGCCCAGCCCTTGTGGGGCATGTGCAGCCCAGGCCACGTCCATCCTCTTCCCCTCTCCCTGCCTCTGTCTGACTTCCAGGTGAAACAGATCATGGAGGAGGCCGTGACACGCAAGTTTGTGCATGAGGACAGCAGCCACATCATCTCCTTCTGTGGTGAGTCCGTGACAGGGGAAGCTCCTCCTGCCCCCATCCTTCTCTCTCTCTCCCTCTCTCTTTCTCTCTCTCTGTGTCAAGGTGGGGCTGCCTCGGGGAAGTCCTGGCTGTCTCACCATCGCGTTTGGCTTTGACACCATCAAGTTCATTTCTGATGGCAAAGGGACTTTGTGGGTGACTGTGGAGCCAGGGGAGGGTACAGAGACGCAGTGAGCACCATTACAATGGCTTGCTTGGGGCCAGTTTGCCCGGAAAGGCGCGCTGCAGCCCAGAGAGGCAAAGTCGTAAGCCTGAGGCCCTAGACTACAACCCAAGTCTCTTTTCTTCTGGAAAACACTGGGCAGAACCTCCAGGAGAAAACCCAGAAATGGGAAGTCCTTGTAGCAAGTGCACGTGTTAGGTGGGCTCAGAACTGGGCTTGAATCCCAGCGCCCTCCATGGTGGAGTAACCCTAGAAAATGCACTTTCCCCCTCTGAGCCTCAGGATACACGTCTGATCAATGGGTATGGTTTTTCTTTGTCCCCTGTCAGGGCAGAGTCAGAATGGCAGTCATAGGTGCCAGTCTTTCCTTTAATAATGATGTGACTCTTCCACCCAGAGAAAGCCCAGCAGTCACATGGCCCTGTCTCCCCTCTGTCCTTGCCACTGTGCATTCATAAAACATTCGCTGAGTGTCAGGCTTTGTTCTAAGCAATTTTCCCTGTGGATTTCCCACCTTACCCTGGCAGTAATCCTAGAAGATTAATGCACCTGCTGTCCCCAGTTTGCATATGCAGAAGCTGGGGCCCAGAGAGGGGAAGTCGCTGTCCACAGTCACACAGCTGCTAAGTGGCTGGGCGAGAGCGTGGGAACGGGGAGAGACTGACCTTAAGCCTTATCTGTGCGTTCAAAGCTCCCTCTCACTTTTGCGGCAAATACGGCAGATACGGAAGCATCCATGCTTTTCCCCTATGAAGCTTGTAATTCTGGGAGGGTTTCCCCAACTCTTCAAGGTGTTCCCCCATCAGATGGAAGTCCCCAGGGCCAGCTCGGTTACCCCAGGGGTGGGTGGGCAGGGCAGAGCCTGCGGATGCTCATGTCCCCTGCAGCGGCCGTGGAGGCGTGTGTGTTGCACGGGCTGCGGCGACGGGCGGCCGGCTTCCTGCGCAGCAACAAGATTGCAGCACTCTTCATGAAGGTGGGCAAGAGCTTCCCGCCGGCTGAGGAGCTGAGCCGCAAGGTGCAGGACCTGGAGCAGCTGATCGAGAACGCGTGAGTGTGCGCTGGGGAGGGGTGGGGGAGGGCCGGGGGACAGGCCTCGAGGTCCCTCCCCAGGCTCTGCGAGAGCTCCAACCTCTGCTCCTGCAAGAGCACTCTCCTCGCAGGTCATCTGCTCACCCCAGGGCCTTTGCACAGGCTGTGCCCGCCACCAGACTTGTCATTGTGAGTCAAAGACCTCCCTTTAGAAATCTTTGTAATAAGCAGTCCAAGGTTGGTTCCTTGTTACCATTCAGGTCTTCGCCCTGCACAGCAAATCCAACTTTCAACCCACCTCTCTTTCATTTTTCTCTTTCTTTCTTCCTTTCTTTCTTTCTTCCTTTCTTCCTTTCTTCCTTTCTTTCCTTCTTTCTTTTTAAATTATTATTATTATTTTTATTTTGACAATCTTTACATAGTTAATTTGGGTAAAAAGATTCAAGGGCTACAGGAAAGTGGGTAAGATTATTATTTCCATATTGTTTCCTTCATATATCTGAGGTAAAGGGGGATATTGAGGGAGAAGCCCCACCCAGTTTTCCACCCACCCCAAGTCCCACATGTGGGGCATACTCCGAGATATTTGCTCAAGTGGTTTAGATAGTTCACCAGTTGTTTGTGGTTTGCTTGACCAAGGTCCCACTGCTGCATCTAACCATGACATCCAGATGAGCAGGCCGCTGCATTATCCCCATCCCATGCCCAGCATTGGGGGTGGTATTGAGCACTATGTAAATACCTGAGAGGCAGTGACCAAGCCCTGTTTTAAGTGCACGTGGTCAAAGCCGTGTGGTCTCTCCTGCATGGACCAGAAGCCAGGACCTCTGGCTAAATCCCACCTGGAGGTACCCACTAAGTGGGAGGGTTTGATTTTGCCTATTCGTCTTGGTTGGTCTGCGTGGATGACCATGAGTCTTCCATCAGAGCTAAGTCCCGAAACCCTGACTGCACAGCCAAACCCCGACTACCTGGAGCCTGCTCAGAGATAGCAGATGAGTTTCCACTCCAGCAGGTGCTCCCAGGGACCGTGTTGTGAAATAACACCATACTCGGGCATCCTGGGGCACTGCGTGGATCGATTGCTCATGTCTTTCACAGGCAAGAGGAGAGAGACAGGCACGACCTGTGTGTGCCGTCTTGGATGGGTGCTATTTCAGGCTCTGTCTGCTCAGGGCTGCTGGCCAGAACTGCACGGCTTCAGATTTAGCTCTGCCAACTCCCGTGGGGCACAACCTCACTTGCTCACGAACACACATACCGAGCTTTGTCCGTAGGCCAGGCCCTGCGTGATGCCTTGGAGATGCAGGCAGGGGGAAGGTCCATGCTTACCACTGCGTGAACTGAAAGAGAACACACATTAATTGGTTTGTACCCACCAAGATCACACTGTGGAGGGGCGGACTGAAAGGTGAGCAGAAGTTCAATGCCAGAGGTTGGAGGGAACACACTCCAGCTTTGGCTGATCTGAGAGGGCTTCGTATAGGAGGGGGTACCTTGGATGAGACCTGGAGTGTGAGAAAGGCTCAGCTTACTGCAGGGAAAGGAGGGGAAGGCTGTAGGGGGTTGCTTCACCACCAGCTGTGTGCAGGTGGGTCCTACAGTGAGAGCAGTCAGTGGTCAGCAAAGGAGAATGGAGGCATGGTCATGGGAGCCCCCGAGCTGGGAAGGATATGCGTGCAGAGGGAGATATTGTGAGTCTGACTCACTCACCAGCAGTATAGGACTGTTTGTCTGACCACGTCTTCTCACCCACTGGGCATTACGATTTTTTTGTTTTGTTTTGTTTTACCCCTGAGCTCATTAGCTGACAGCCTCTCTTCTCCTTGATTGATCTTGCAGACGGAACCAGATGCAGGGCCTTCAGGAGAACGTACGGAAGTTGCCCAAGCTGCCCAACCTGTCACCGCTCGCCATCAAGCACCTGTGGATCCGCACGGCCTTGTTTGAGAAGGTCCTGGACAAAATTGTGCATTACCTTGTGGAAAACAGCAGGTGAGCCAGGAGGAAGGTTGGGGGTGTGCTCTGCTGCCGCCCGCTGGTCCCATGGGGATTGCATGCTCTTGTACAACTGCACCAAGTTGCTTTTTTTTCTTCCTTGACATGCACTTCCGCTTGGCTGTGATTTAAAAGATGCCCCCTGGATGTTTGATCCTGGTCCAGGCTTTTTTCCAAGCTTGGAAAGATGCAGGGGCTTATTATTCATGCAGGGTCTTCATATTTAGGCTGGGATAGGGGCATCTTGGATTTCTTCTTTTCTGCATGGATCAATCTACGCGATAATGGTATGGTCCTGGGAGGCTCGCTGTGTGTCTCTTTCAGCAAGGGAGATAGAAATCGATGGTATTCTAGAGAAGTAGTGAGGGGAGAATTTTATGAGAACACAGCATTTTAAAAGCACAAAGAAATTACATTTTCTCCCTTTGCTCAGCTTAATCTGATGTGGAGGTTTTAGAGTATGACTCTTGTTGACTAAGCATCTATCCATACATTTGCTCATCCAAAAACAATTTTTCATGAGAATCTGTTGTGTGCCAGGCGTTCACCTAGATGTTGAGGATACAGTGGCCAGGGCTGCCATGCTAGAGAGCTTGGGCAGTGTTAGCATGAGAGCAGTGGGGAGCCAGAGAAGACTCTATAGCTCCTCATGTCCAGAGTGTGTTTCCAGCTCCTGAGAGGAAGAAGAGAGAGGGAATGGAGAGAGATAGAGACAGGGAAAGAGCAGTGTTGGAGGATTTCCCCATCTTTCAGTGTAACAAGGGCTTGTTTATCTTCACACACGGATGGGAGAATTATTTAATACATTGGCCCCTTTGCTGGCACATACAATGAAAACACAGAATGGAAGGCCTGAAACTCACGCTCCAGCCAGAAAGGTGTCAAGCAGTTAGGATGATAGTGAGTGTTCTAAGAGGGTGTTCATCTCTGCCAGGTGGCTGGGGGAAAGGGCCCGGAAGGTGTCACAGTTACACTTCCCTTGGGAGGACATGAGGAATCAGCCAGATGAATTGGGATGAAGCAAGAACATTCCCAGGGGCGGGCTTGCAGGTAGAAGAGAAAATATAAGAAATCCAAGTTCTGTTAACCAGGCCTCCAGTGAACTTCTTCCTTACTGGCAAATTACAGGTTAATTCGCTTTTTTTTTTTTTTCATGACAACGATGAACTAGCCAAGGCCACTAACTTTATCAAAAGATTATTTAGTTCAAGGCTCTGGAGATTCAAGTCCAAGGTTACCCAGCCCTGTTGGTTAAGGATCTCGTGAGGCAGGTGGAGAGCAAAGGCAGCGCGTGTGCTGAGGACCCATTCTAACTCCACAGCCTGTGCCCTTCACCTCCCACTCTTAGATGGCAAGGGCCAAGCCCTTGATGGAGCCTGGCACCGTGCATGCCCTGCGCATGCCTGCTGTGTGGTCAGTGCCCCTTTCTGAGCCTGAGATCATTGGGAAGTCAGAAAGGCCTTGAAATTCTTGTTGCTTCTAGAATACACGAATTTTCAATGAGTTAGCAACCGCAAGACCAAAACAAACAACCGACCCACCCCCAAATCATTCAGCACCAACTGTAGGGGTAGCTTTCATGACTTACTTTGCCGCTTTTGTAAAGCTAGTATCAAGACCAAGGATTCAGCAGGTGCTTCCCAAGCGCTGTGATAAATGCTCTTTAATCTCTTGTTTCTCTCTAAAGTCCTTCAGATAGCCCTATAAACAAAGGTGCTCACCATCGTCATCATCATTCCCACTTTACAGATGGGGCAACTGAGGCTGTGAGGTGTCCCTGGGGTTGCCCCCAGTGTGTCCACTCACTGTGGGATCTCTGCTAGTCTCCGTCCACACCTGCATACCCTTTCCTATTTTGCTAGCAAATACTATGAGAAGGATGCTCTCCTGATGGACCCTGTGGACGGCCCTATCCTTGCATCTCTGTTGGGTAAGTGGTTGGTGCTCAGCTAGACTTCAGCACTGGGGTCTTTTCCTGCCCCAGCAGCTTACCTGTTGCTGCTTCGTGCACCCTTGTTCTGGCCTCTTCTTGGAGAGACTTTGGAGTTGTCCAGGCTGTGTGGATGGGAGGGGTCATGAGAGGTCCAGCTGGTGGTAGAGGAAAGGGGAGGAGAGCTATGATTCCCAGCTGCCACATGTCCTACAGTGGGGCCCTGTGCCCTGGAATATACCAAGATGAAGACTGCCGATCACTTCTGGACGGACCCCTCGGCTGACGAGCTGGTCCAGAGACACCGCATCCACAGCTCGCACCTGCGCCAGGACTCGCCCACCAAGCGTCCAGCCCTTTGTGTGAGTGGTGGTAGTCAGGGGAGCCATGGGGTGGACTTAGGTCAAGGCATGGACTTGGCCTGAGGGGTGCAGAACTGGGTAGGAACCCTAAATGCTTCAGGACTTGTCCCTGCTCCCCCATTGGTACCCAGATCCAGAAGAGACATTCAAGTGGCAGCATGGACGACCGGCCATCCCTCTCCGCCCGCGACTACGTGGAGTCCCTGCATCAGAACTCCCGGGCCACTCTGCTTTATGGCAAGAACAATGTCCTGGTGCAGCCGGTGAGAGTTTATGGGGGCCTGGGCCTTGCCCTGAGGGTCTGGCACCAGGTCTTATAACCTGAGTTTCCTCTGACTCCAGGCTATCCATTTATCTATCTTCCCCTCCACCTACTCATCCATCCATCCATCTATCTGTCTGCTAATATCCACCTACACAGCCGTCTGTTCACTCATCTGCTGATATCCACACATTCATGCATCCATTCGTTTGTCAGCCAACATCTCCATTCATCTTCTGATGCATCTGTTGGCATCTTCTTCCCTTTCCTTCACCCACCCATCCATTCATCAGCTCTTTTTCATTCTCTATAGCTTCCATCCCTCTATTCTTGCATCCATCCGTTGTTCATTCACCCACATGTCTACGTGTTTATCCATCCCCTGTCATCCATTCATCTGTTGGCCAATATCTCCACCTATCCATTCACTCATCAGTCATTATCTTCCTTGCTTCCTTGCTTCTTTCCTCCCTTCCTTCTTCCCTTCCTTCCTTCTTCCCTTCCTTCCTTCCTCCCTTCCTTCTTCCCTTCCTTCCTTCCTTCCTTCCTTCCTTCCTTCCTTCCTTCCTTCCTTCCTTCCTTCCTTCCTGTGAGGCACCTGCAGCCCACCACTCACACAGTCTTCTCTGACTATCCCTTTCCTTAGTCCTTGGGTCACAGGGTCAGTGTGGGGGCTGGGCTCAGCTGTGAGGAGGCAGAGGGAGTCAGCTGCTCCAGCTGTGGCCAGTCAGCTTCAGTAGCCAGCTGACCCCAGCAGCTGTTCTCCTCTGGGCCTCAGTGCAGAGCAAGCCCCATTTCCACAGGTCTAAGGAGTTGAAAGTGTACCATTTTTCAATGTAACCATCTAGAAGTGAAAAACTGTGTTTCAGTGCTGCAGTTTTTTCACTACTTAGAAATTTGAGCCCCAGTTTTTGGAAAGAGTTCTTTGAGACTTCTTTAGACAAACGGAGAATCTTCCAAAAGTTTGTAGAAATTATGAGATACCACTGCCTAGGTTTCCTTTTTTTTTTCCCCTCCAACTTACTTGCTTTCTTCATGAACTTTTTCTGAAGTACCCTTCATTTTTTCTTATTTTTATCTTTTTAAAGATTTGTTTCTTGAGTTGAAGTTCAGGGTTACAGAGAGAGAGGGAGACAGAAAGAGAGCGATTGATCTTCCTGCCCTGGAGGGGTGGCTGCAAAAGGCCACCTGGACAGAGGTTTAAGATCCTCCCCTTGACCGTGACTTTGAAAAGAATAGCCCACCCTCTTCGTCCGATTATCCATCCTTGGCTCAAATGATCTAGAGCCTGTGCGCACTGGGACTCCAACACGATGGCCAGATCTAAGTCCTCCTCTCTCTGCAGAGAGACGACATGGAGGCTGTGCCAGGGTACCTGTCCCTGCACCAGACGGCTGATGTCATGACCTTGAAGTGGACACCCAACCAGCTGATGAATGGGTCTGTGGGGGATCTGGACTATGAGAAGAGGTAAGCACCGAGTCTGTCCTGTGTCCCCTGTGCTCTCCTCTCCTCTCCTCTGCCTGGTTGGTTGGTTGTGTGGCCACTTACTATGGCTTCAAGGGTCAGCCAAATATTCAGAAATACCCAGAAGCCAACTGGAAGCATCTTGGCACTTGGGATTTAGGTGGGATTTACCCTGTGTGCTCTCTTAAGAACAAAAAGTTGTTGTGATGAAGAATTTTTCACGTAGCAACAGATCTTGGTTCCCTGTCACTCACCCCCTTCCCTCTTGTGCATAATCTTGAAGTATCCTGCAGATAAAATTTAATAGTACTAATATGATTTAATACTATATACTTTAACAGAAAAGTATATAGGCATGCATTTGGACTCTTTTCAAGGAAGAGTTGTTGTGTTCAGTAGTAGCATCAGTAGGGGAGTGATTGATGGTGCTTTCTCAGCTGCTAGGAGATGTCGTTAGTCCCAACTCCTGCCAGACTCATGTCAGGGGGTCCTCCTGGAGGGACAGCATAGGTGCCAAGAAGGTGCCCTTCACCTGCAGGATGGAAGGGAGGCAGGAAAGGAGGGAGGGACGGAGGAAGGGAGAGAGAGAGAAAGAGAGAGAGAGAGAATTCCTATCTGCTTGCTCACTCCCCAAATGCTTGTCATGTCCAAGGCTGCACCAAAGCCAAAGCTAGGAACCAGGAGTTCTGAGTTGCCCACATGGGTGACAGGGGCCTAATCACTTGAGCCACCACCCCCGCCTGCCAGGATCTACATAAATAGGAAGCTGGAGTCAGGGTCTGGAGCTGGGTATCAAAGCTGGGTTCTCCACTGTGGCACATGGACATCCTAATCAATATCTTATCCTCTGGGCCAAGTGCCTACCCAAGAAAAGGTGAATCTGTAAGTCAGAAAGCAGAGTGCTCATTGCCTACGGTAACATAAGGCATGATCCAAGAGCACTGATTGAATAATGAATAACAAAGGGATCTTTTGGGGTTGATATAAATGTTCTAAAATTGGAGTGTGGTGATGGTTGCCTCCATCTATAAATTAATGCATCCAACTCATCAAGTGGCATATTTACCATGAGTGAGTGTTGTGGTTTTAAAAAAAAAAAATCAAACCTCAATAAAGCTATTCAACATGAAAACCAAGATAGAGTTCCAGTTCTTGCTCCTACCCATTGAGTGACTTGGATGATTCATGTTGGTCTTCTTTTCTTTAAGATTTATTTATTTCTATTGGAGAGGCAGATTTTACATAGAGAAAAGGAGAGACAGAGAGATCTCTCCCATCTGCTGGTTCACTCTCCAAATGGATAAAACAGCCAGAGCTGAGCTGATCTGAAGCCAGGAGTCAGGATCTGCTTCTGGTCTTCAACATAGGTGCGAGGTCCCAAGGACTTGGAGCATCCTCGGCTGCTTTCCCAGGTCCTAAACAGGGAGCTGGATAGAAAGTGAAGGAGCTGGGACACGAACCAACACCCACATGGGATGCCATTGCAACACAGCTCTAAACTATTTGGCTAGATTTATTGGAGCCACTGGTTGACTGTTAGGAGTTCTTTCTCCTGCAGCCCTCCTACACTCAGTACTGGCTTAGAGCAGCCTAAGAGAAGCATGGCCCTTGCACAAACACAGTGACCCAAGCAGGCAAGCAGCCTCTGGGGCTGTCCGTCCATCCCACCCTCCCGCAGGGTCCTCTGGTGGAGATCCAAGTTACCCCAGAGCCCAAGTGCAAGGGGAAGGGGTCTCCACCTACCTCCGTGTTCTCATGATCAGGGAAGCAGCAGGTTGTGAGCTAGAAACAGAACCAGTCGATACCAGAACCATTTCCCACCCACTCCGGAATGCTTCGGTTCTGTGCTAAGCCCTTGGGATGATGTAGTTGACATTATGAGATGGGCGTTGTGACTACATCCATTTTATAGAGGAAGAGGCTGGAGTTAGGATCTGAGTTGTCCAAGTCTGTTAGATGCTGGTTATAGAAAAAATGAACTCAGGAAGACATAAGCACTGGCTCATACACAGCTTTAGGCATGGCTGCACACAGGCACTCACACGATGGGGAATCGAATTGTGTCTGGCCCTGCTTTTCTGTCAGCACCATTCTCAGGCAGGCTTTCTCTTGCCATGCATCTTGACATTGTCAGTCTTCTTCGCTCTCCTCACCCAGTGATTCATACACAGATCTTGCAGTTGAGTCTCATTGGTTCTGCTCTAGTCCGTGAGCTCCCTCTAAACCAATCACTATGTCTGGGATTGTGACACGGGCTGATGGACCAGATCTTAGTCACGTGACCCTTTTGGAAGTCTTGGGTGGGATAGGAAGTTGGTGGGGTTGGTTTCACCTTAGCTCTGTGGGTGAAAAAGTGTGGTGGTCTAAAAACATTGAGGTGCTAGGACCAGGAAAAGATAAAGAGACTGGATTGGCCTGTGATAGGAAGGTTGTGGTAGAAGGACAGAGGAACCTGTGGTTGTGACCTTCTGCCCGCAAGCCCTTCCCCAGCGTGACGTAGACAGGTGTCCCTCAAGCCTCACTCTCTTTCCCCTTCCAGTGTCTACTGGGACTATGCCATGACCATCCGCTTGGAGGAGATTGTCTACCTGCACTGCCACCAGCAAGGTAGAGACTGTGGGGACAGCAGGGGTGTGCCAAGGGTCTTTTTAGATCTCCTGCCCACCTCCATTTCTGCCCTCTTATTAGCATATGAAACAACTGTGCTGGGCATCTCACATGACCTGTGCAACCACAGGCAAGTGCCTTCACAACTCTGAGCTTTGGTTTCCCCACCATCTGTAAAATGGGTATTCTGATGGCCACCTAGTCAGCATAAGACTATGCTACTTGAGGGGGCAAGTAAGGTATGAACTCCAATGGGGTTAAACCTTTGCAATGAGACAGACTTGGATTCGCATGCAGGCCTTGCCCCTCATCAGCTGGGTGACCCTGGAGAAGTTCCTCAACTTTTCTGGGCCTCAGGTTCATTATTGGTAAAGTAGGCCTCACAGGGATATTATAGTATAGTAAGATGGTGCGTCCACTGTGTACTGTGCTGGTACCTGCTAACCAGAGTCAACCAGTGCCCTAAGAAGGGAAAAAAATATCTGGAAACCTCTGTATATGTAAAAGCAGAGATGCTACGTAGATCCATAGAATAGTCTTGGGAGTGTCTGGTCCCTTTTGTGCTTACGATGGGGAGACTACCCAGGTCCCGCTTGACCCTGTCCTGTATGCTTCACTCTCTGCCCTGATCTGACACCCAGGCCTTCCCCAGGGCCACCCGGGGTGGAGAGGTGGGGGAGCAATGTGCTTGCAGGGAGGGTCCTGTCACCATGCCTCCTAGTGACTTCCCACTGGGTCTCCTCTGGCCGGTGGCGGCGGCAGTGGACAGCGGTGGCACGGTGGTGTTGGTCAGCCAGGATGGCATCCAGAGGCCGCCCTTCCGCTTCCCCAAGGGCGGGCACCTCCTGCAGTTCCTCTCATGCCTGGAGAATGGGCTGCTCCCCCATGGGCAGCTGGACCCACCACTGTGGTCCCAGCGAGGGAAGGTGAGTGTTTCCGGAAGAGACTGGGCTGGAGGTGGCAGGGGGACAGGCAGTTGTGTAGCCTCTGAGCCTTTGTGCTGCTTTTGGGACCCTGCACACCTGGGCAAACCTCCCCCGCAACACTTCCTGCCAGACTGGGTGGGTCACATGGTAGGTGCATGTTCCGAGTTCCATGCACCGGAATGTGTACTTTCAGGGCAAAGTGTTCCCCAAGCTGCGCAAGCGAAGCCCTCAGAGCTCAGCTGAGTCCACGTCTTCAGACAAGGAGGATGATGAGGCCACAGATTATGTGTTCAGAATCATCTACCCCGGCATGCAGTCAGAATTTGGTAAGCTGTCCTGTCCCCAGGGCCCGGGACCCACTTGTACCTGCAACTTGAAGCCAACTGCAGGTGTATGGAACTAGAAAATGAGAGGTCTGGATTCTGGGACCAGAGTGGGGGCATGATGGGTTTCTGGAATCAAGAAGTTTGCGTCTGGACAGCCTCAGTTCCCCTCACCGTGCTCCCTAAACAAGACCACATGACCACTTCTTACTTGGCTAGACAAGGGGTTTCATGGAGTGGTGGCCTTGGCATGGGTTCTGAGTCTTGAGTGATCTTGGACAAGTCATTTCCCTGGCAATACCTTGGTTTCCCCATCTGGAAAATGAGGGTGCTTGTAGTGCTTACTTTATGGAGTTGTGAGGGTTAAGTGAGAGAAGGCATCTGCACTTTGAGAAACCTCAAATGCCAGCTGCTAGCGCAGAGTTTCTGCTGTTAAGATTCTGTGAAGGCTGGCTGTTGCGAGGATCCAAAGGGATGGTGAAGGGACAGTGTCAAGTTCTTGGGGTAAGCCTGCACACAGTGTGCCCTGTCAGTGGTAGTAGAAACAGCAGAGGGAGCAGCAACACGCTGGACATTGGCATACCAGGTAGTATCAGGCATCAAACAGCTTGCCTGGGACTGTGTGAGATAGATAGATGGGGCCACCATGACCAGCAGAGAAAGCTGAGAAGGTGGTTCAGTGTTTAGGAAATGCTGCCAGGCTGTCTAGTAAATCAATGTCAAGGCATAGGCTCTTCTGTGACCTTTGTTTCATTTCACCCTCTGTACCCTGTTGCACCGCCCACCCACCCCCTGCCCCCATGCACCAGAGCCTCACTTTGCTTATGTGACCATGTGTTGGGCAGCCAGAGGTTCTTAGGAAAGCAGATATCCTGTGCCAGCAAGGGCAGATGAGTGGTATCAGGCTGTAACCTGTGGCTGAGTCAGATCTGGGACATGGAGTAGGCTCAGGGTTGGGTCTCAGTGTTAACTCAGGTGAGCCCGGACTTTCTTCCCCCATGTTGTCCCTTTATAGCCAGTCAGTCACAGAGCCTCATGTTCGTGTATTACTTAAGTGCCCCAGGGAATTAGGAGTATTTCTTATCAATGTCTGTTCCTTATAATGGTATAGTGTCCCCTGACCTCTCCCTCTGTATTACTGGTGCTCACACAGCCCCAGTCCTACACCAAGGCCGCCTTGCTGCAGGTGCAATCCCCCAGGATGCTGAGCTGCATTCTGTTCTGTCCCCTAAGAGCCTGAGCCTGCCACCCACCCCACCTAGTGCAGCCCAAGGTCCACTAAGATGCCTCACAAGAGAACTGCTCACCATAATGGGCCAGACCGCTAGAACTTCCTTCCCAACAGCCTTTCCATGAATTTCCTTCCTTGGTCCTGTGTATGCGCATGCCAGGAGCCAGGCTGGGCACCAGAGATTTTCCTTGTTTAGGGAATGCCCTGTCTGTTATCCAGGGGCTAGCTGCATGGCCTTTGACGGGGGCCAGCAGAAGACACATCTGCTGTGCCCACCCATACTCTTCAGCATTTCCTGCTCCTGTGTGGCATTTGACTGCCGGGCCTCCTGCTTCACTCTCTCCTCATGCCCTTAAGGATTCCTCGGGATCCCTGCTTCCTCTGGGCTGGGCAGCTGGAAGCACCAAAGAATCAGGGCCTCGCTGGAGCAGCTCCCAGCCCATGATTGACAGGGGCTGGTGTATGAATGCCCCAGCTCTCTCCCTCCTTGCGTGAGCCAACTCTGACACACATATGTCACACAGATTCCCATGACCCTCTAGCAGACGAAGCCCTGATTGTCCTACGGGTGACTTGTTACTCATTGCCCTCTTCTTTGCCTTGTCTTCCCCTGTCATATCTCATCTCCTCTCACTCCTGGTAGTTGCTGGGAACCCTTTCCCAGGAACCGACTTGCCTATGAATCCTGTCTGCTGTTGAGGAAACCCCAGCTAAGTCTTTTGAACGGGGCTTCTCCACAGCACTGCTGTGTTGGACACATTCGTTCTCCTAAGCTTCGTAGGGTTGAACAGCATCTCTGATCTCTACCTAGAAGCGATTAAGTGGCAAACCCAACAGCTCTCCAAGGTGAAATCTTGAGAGGGAGAAATGCCTCCAGATAATGCCAAGTGTCCTCTAGGGTGTCAAGTGCCAACTTGCCCCCCATTAGGAACTTTTCAATATGCAGTTCTGCCTTGGCACTAGGCTTTTAGGATGAGTTTACTTCTGATCTCATTTTCTTCTTGTGTGTAGAAGGAAGGTAATAAGATTCTCCATCCCAGGTCGGATCCCAAGGGGTCAGTGTGCTGATTCATGGGACAACTGGCCACCTGGTGTGGGGCCTGGCGCTTGGCAGGTGCTCTGTGAGTGATCATAGGCGTCATGTAACCAGTCCCAGATGCCGCTGCTGCTTCTGTATGCTCTCCATTGCCTGAATCCATTCCATCCCCACTGTAGGCCTCTCAGATGGGTGCCTCAGTCATCATCACCACCTACTTTTCAGAAGAAGAAACTGGGGCTCAGAAAGAAGGAGCAGCTGGTCCAGGCTCACCCAACTGATTGCAGCACATGACTGGGATGCGAAGGCGTATGCCTCTAGCTGCCACACCATGCATTTTGTCCTGGCCCCTGGGGGAGAGTTTCACTGTCTCCAAAGTCAGGTTCAACCCATGTCCACAGGTTGACCCATCCTAGGTTGGCTTTCTCAGGGGCCTGAGAGAGGCATGAAGACCTTCATGGGACAGTGCCTACATCAGAAATCAACAAAGCCCTGCCTACCAGCCAGATTCAACCCCTTGTCTGTTGTGTCGATAAAGTTTTACTGGCACATCCTTCATTTATTTTTTCTGCAGTAGCAGAGGCGTTGAAACATTATGACAGAGGTTGGATGGCCCCCGAAATCAAAAGTACTGACTCAACTGTCTTTGGAAAGGGATTTCACCCAGCGAGAGAGAGGCTGTGACATTTGAGGTTCTGCAGTGCTCCCCAGGGTTTTGTCACCCCTTGTGCTGTCTGCCTGTTCCTTATGTGCTAAGGAGACACAAATTCAAAACCAGTTGCAGGCTCACAGTCCCTATGAGTGCGTATGCAGAATCCTACTGCTGAGGTCATCCTGGCCTAAGTTGGCAGCCCCAAGCTCTCCTGAGATGCCACCAGCACATAGTGGCATGTGCTGTGAGTGCAAGATGCACGTGAGAGTTTGAAAACTTTTTGCAAAATGAATGGAGAAAGCTTATGTTTTTATAGTGAGTAGATGTTGAAGGGATGGTGTGTTTGATACATTGAGTTAGGCACTGCTAAGCTGGAGCAGTGCTTCTCACCATTAGACCTGCTGATGGATGGGACCAAATCATCCTCTGTGTGTGTCAGGTTGTCTTGTACTTTGTAGGATATGGATCAGCATCTCGCTGATCCCCAAGTTAGGAACCGATGATGTAGAAGAGACAACTGCTGATGGGAAAACTGTTGAGTGGCTCAGGGCCAAAATTCGTGGGCTGGATTCTGAGCATTGCTTATTAGCTGGGTGGTGCTTTAGGGCTTGCTTAAACTCCCCACGCCTTGGTTTTTGACCTGTAAGAGGGACAGATGATGGGAATTGTACGCAGTAAGTGATAGGTATTGTTATTGGAAAGGGAAGGAAGCCTGCCATCAGAAGGCCAAATGTGCCAGTTACTAGCCGGTGGGACTCTAGCGGATGAGGTTGGGTCAAACTTCTGAGTGTTGGTTTCTTCTACAAAATAGGAAAAGGAATGCATCCCCTATGGGGCACTAAGGACAGTTGGCCAACATCTGACTTGCACAGCCCCAGACACATGAGAGGCACTTTTCAATACCAGCATTTATACTCTACTGAAACAGTTTGCCATGGGAACCACATGGAGCAGTGTGGAGGAAGGGTTTGAGTCCTGGGAGTTGGTTCTTGTAACCCTGTCAGTGTTTAGTCTGCCTCACCTCCTGCTTCACTGATTCTCATTGTTTTGTGTCTCAAGTTTTCCCCGACCACTCAGGCAGCTCTTGCTCCATCTCCGTGGGTCCTGCCTGGATGATGGTTCCTGCAGGCCACTCCATGCTGGTGGTGGCCAGGGGCGCTCAGTGGGCATACAGCAGACGGGACGCCACCCTTCCTACACCAGGCCTGAAGGAGCAGCCTCCCAGTAATGTTCAGGCTCCCTCCTCCCCCGCCCACTTCCCCTGGGGCTGAGGGACAGCCACCTCTGCCATGTTGTCATTTGAATCTTGACCTTGAGGGAGATGAAAGCAAGAGATAGTAGATGCCCTCACACTGTCCAGCTCTTGTCCTCTTGTGAAGTGTCGGCAATGAAGAGATCCATTGGTGATGTCTGCATGGGTAGGAGGAATTGGGAGGAAGGCATAGTTGCCACAGCTGGGCTAAACAGATCAGTGTTTCCCCAGGAACTGGGTTGGGGAGGGGTTTTTTTCTAGGCTATTTCACAGAGAATGGGGAGTTTTCCTTGGTCAACTTGTTGATGAGTCTGCATGGGGAGGGGGCTTGTAACAATCACACTGAGTAACTGTAAGAACTACTTCCTGCAGGCAGTTGCCCACTCTGCTGAATGGTAGGTGATGGCCTGGTCAGCTGCTGAGCTATGATGAAATAAGGGCAGGGCCACAACCCCCGCTTCCTTTACATGCAAGAGAAGAGGCAGGATGTTACCAGGTCTCATGTTGGGACCAGGGAGTGTCAAGAAAATGTGCCTTTCATTTCATTTCATAGAGCAGGAGTTAGAAAACCATGGCTTATGACCAAATCCGGCCTCTTCCTGGATAGACCCAGAGCTGAAAAATGATTTTTATATTCTTAGATAATGGGGAAAGACTAAAGAATGCCAAGTTCGCATTTCAACATCTGCAAACAAATGTTTTATTGGAACATGTTCATGCTCACTGCTTTTATTTTGTATGTGGCTACTTTTGCACCAGCACCATGACTATAGAATAGAGCAGTTATGGTGGAGACAAAATGGCTCACAAGCCATAAATGTTTACTACTTAGCTTTTTATAAGAAATATTTACTATACGCCCTATCCTAGGGAAAACGAATCTCTTGCATCTCTCTAGAGCTGCCAACAGGCCAGGACTTTGACTACAGAAATTATAAGATCAACACTGTGCCCATTTTGCAGTTATGTAAATACTAATGTTTTTCTAAAAAACTGGGGAAAGCTAAAAACAAGAGAAAATCTTTGGAGTAGTTCATCAGGAACCCTTAATGAATAGATTTACAAGATTAGGAACTCTTGGGGATTGCTGTCAGATTGTTTTCAAAACACAACTTTGAGGGAGGTGTCTCCAGCTGACATATAGGAAGTCTCCATTCTGTGGTCCAGGGATGCAGCAGGTGCAGATGGCTTTTTAGCGAGTCCCCAAATAAGACTCCAGAGTTGCTGATCTGTTTGAGATATGTTCAGTTGAACAGTTTTGGGCATCAGAACCACGGACAGCACCAATGATCTCCAGGAATCCACAGGGTCTTCTTCGTTTGGGTGCCCTGCCTCATCTATTTAGACAGCCTCTCTCCCATGTTCCCATTAGGGACTCTCTGTGAGGGTTAGCTCTGGGGAGCCATAACCATGTGCCTTCCCCAAAAGCACCTAAAGAGTCCCCTGTCTTCCCTGCCACTGCCCTGTGAACAAAACTCAATGACAACATGGCAAGTCTTGGCTGCCTGCTCAGGGATTCAGCCTGTTTCCTTGGCTCTGATTTCCATGTTCTCATTCTCTCTTGTCAGCTGCCATCAGCTCTTTCATCTTCTGGGACACCAGATCACGGTGGTGGGTTTCTTGGAATCAAGTGGGCTCAAGGATTTGGGTCAACTATGGGATCACTGTTTCCTATCCTCTAACATTCAGGGTCTTGTCCTATCCTTGTGCTGGCCTGATAATGGAGCCGCTTGCCTGGGGGTGAGATCTCTGAGATCTGTGTAACATCACCAGCACTCTTCTCTGTCCCTTTTCCATGCTACAGTCCCCCAGGATCTGATGGATGTCTCTGTAAACAACCTGCCATCACTATGGCAACCCAGTGCTCGGAAATCCTCCTGCTCATCTTGTTCACAGAGTGGCTCGGGCGATGGTAGCTCAACCAATGGCTGCAACCATGAGAGGTAGGAGAGTTGGAACTATAAATGCAGGAGATGAGGGTTTACCAAAATTTGGGAAAGGGAGGGGGCATGTCTTGCCCCAACTAGCATAGTCTGTGGAATTAACCAGATCTAGGTAAGATTCTTGCTTTGCCAAGTTCGAGCTGTTGGAGGTTACTCACCTGCATCAGTCAGGATAAGAGCATCAGTCATGATTGCTCTTCAGGAACACACAGTCCCAAAACCTCAGAGGCTTTCTGCGACTGCAGTTCATATATTTGCTGTGCTCTGAGTCTCCTTGTGGGTACTTACAGCAAAAGAGGAGGGTGGTGATGCTGTGTGGGAAAAACTGATAGTGGTCGTCTTTATAGCCCCCTGTGACTGGCTAATTCCAGTCTTCTGTCTTCAGATAACAAGTTGGCTACTCTCCAGAAAAGCCGGGACTGTGTGTAAAGCTCTTCTAAGCGTCTCCCTCTTTCTCCATCTACAGGGCACCTTTGAAACTTCTCTGTGACAATATGAAATACCAGATCCTTTCCAGAGCCTTCTATGGGTGTACGTATCAGTCCTTCATTGCCAGTGGGGTCTCTGGGGAGCATTTATTGAGTACCTGCTTCCACCACCATGTAGGTATTCTGATTATTCCATTCACCACATGGGGCACAGCAAGGCAAAATTGTTTGCCCTGGGTTATGCAGCTAGCAAGTAGCAGTGCTAGGGCTCAGACCCTGGTTGGCCTGCCTCCAAAGGCTTTGTTTTTCCCTCATCTGTTCACCCTTAGCATGTTTTGTTTCCCAACCGTGTAGCCCAAATTGCATAGATTAAAATGTGTGCATTTTCAGAGTTTGCAGAGAAGTCTTCCTACTGCCCACGTGGGCCTGTGCAGTAGCAGTACAGGACTCATCTTGAATGCTGAGGAGGCAGGAAGAACATGAGTTGCACTGGGATAAGGGCTCTGCCTGTTCTGTTCCTGCCCATCCCAGTGTTTGATGTATCTGGCGTGGTGCAGACACTGGGCAAATATTTGTTGAATCCAAGGGTAGGCCTTCCTGGAGGTGGAGGAATGGGTGTTGAGGTGCCTCCAGAGCAGTGTCACCTGCTGGGGATTTGGCTCACTCCTGGGAGTGGCTTGAGAGCCCAACTCTGGAGTCAGGTAGGCTGGGGTCAAGCCCCAACTCCGCATTCTCTAGTGATGTGGCTTGGACAAAACATAGACCCAGTGTGCTTCAGTTTACCTCATCTGGAAGATGGAGATAATGTGTGCTTCATAGGGATATAGGAATAATTACATGAGTTTAGTTAGGCAGTTCTAGCAACAGTCTGGTGGTGTATGGTATATGCTATCTTAAATGCTGGTGACATCATTATCATCATCATCACCATCCTGTTTTTGGCATGGGGTGAGTCCAGACTGAAGGTCGTCCAGGGTTCTCTCTAACAATTGGGAATGAGAAAGCCAGGAGGAGGGGACATGGCCACAGCTAAAAGCACACACTAATAAATGCTGAGTGCTTCTGAGAACACACCCAACTGCTGGTTTACGCCACGCCCCTAGATACCTGCAACATGTAAGACTGAACCAGGCCAAGCTAGGAGCTGGGAACTCAGTCTTGGTCTCCCACATGGGTGACAGGGTCTCTGGTTCTAAAGCCCAAGGAGAACATTAGCAGGAAGCTGGAGTCAGAAGTTACACTGGCGTTTAAGCCCAGGCACTGCAATATGGGATCCAGGTTTCCCAACCAGCATCTTAACCGCTGTGCCCAATGGCCATCCCAACTCTCTGAGAGCTAGCTATGTGCCTTCAGTGTGTTCTAGTGACTGACTCACCAGGCCTTTACATGGCTGAAACAGAAATAGGAGCCATCTGTGTCTCTTTCTCCCTGAGGGGATTAAGGCACAGTGAGCGTGAGGAATCCCTACCTCCCCCCTTCCTGCCCCTTTTCTGCCACCAGCCTGTGAATTACATGTGTTGGGTGGTCCCACTCTGTGGAAGCTGGTCCCAGATGAAGCTGGTGCCATCCTGTCCCAGGCTGCGGCTCACATAGCTTTTAAGCAGGCAAGTGAGCAAACAATGTCACTCTTCTAAGGCTCATGTTCTTTACCTAGAAAATGGGGCTGATGCGGATTCTCTGGGTTGTGTGTGCTCAGTAGGATAGGAAGGCAAGGCCAGCGGTACTGGATGGTGGATAGTAATACCTTCCTTCCCTTCCCATCCAGGGCTGGCCTACTGCAGACACCTGTCCACTGTGAGGACTCACCTGTCGGCCTTGGTCAATCACATGATTGTGTCTCCAGATTTGCCTTGTGATGCTGGACAGGGGCTGACGGCTGGGATCTGGGAGCAGTACCTGCAGGACAGCACAGTAAGGCTTGGCCTGGCTTGGTTTACCTGTGGACCGAGACTGTAGGGGAGGCTGCTTTGTCACCTGAGAAATAAGCTCACCCGCTCAGGGGCTCGAGTTGATATGTTTGGCTTCTGCACCTGGAAATTGGTCTTTTTTTTTTTTTTGAACCTGCGTAAGTGGAGAATGAGGGAAATGAAAAACATACAGGTTGAACAGCCGTAAGGGAAAAATCCACAGTCCCAAATGTTCCAAACACCAGAGCTTTCTGTGCACCCATCTGAACCCACACCTGAGCTCAGGTGACAGGCTGCAGTCAAAAGGCAGGTGCAGGGAAAATATATCGGGTTATATGTGTAAGGAGCAAATGAAACTTAAAGGAATTCATGTTAGACTTGGATCCCAATCCCAAGATATCTCATTATACATAGGCAAATATCCCAAAATAAGGAAAAAATCTCTGATCAGAAATACTGCTGGTCCCAAACATGTCAGATAAGGAATACTCATCTGTTTGGGTACAGGATAAAACAGTTGATAAGCAATTATTAAACACCAGTTGTATACTTGACCCCGGATCAAATGCTATAACTTGGCTCTGCCAGGAATGACTTTGCAGCCAGCCAAAACCACCTAGGGTGATGAGAATGGCTGGGCATGCAAGGCAGCTGGCCCAGGCCCTCATTCTCTACCCCTGTTTGAAATTGTCTGCCGTCTCTATCTTGGGGCCTGGAGTTCTGCTGTTGCATAGTATAGCTGGAGAGGGTCACTCCTTGAATATGTTCTGGAATTTTCTTATCAGGCTTTCTGCAGGGATATACTTGGGTTTGAAAAAATGTTTTCCAGATGATTGGGGAAGCTCCTGGTTAGATGGTCTTCTGACTTCTACAGGGCTTCTTGGAGCCCTGTCACTCTTAAGAAATCAGAAGCACGTGGGGGGAGACAAAGCGGACAGTCCTCTAGATGGATTTGGCCATAGACACCATCGCTGGTGGTCCCTCAGCTAGTGGAAAGTGGAAACTATGTTGAGAACCACTGGTTTATTTCTGCCACAAAATGGTTCAAAGTGGCTAAGCAGCACATGGTATCTGGAGCAGGGTGACGATCAGACCATAATGCTGCTGCCTTGGATAAAGTGGTATCAGAAATGATCTTCAGATCTTTAGGTAAAATACTGAATGTTCACATTTTGATGTTGATTGCTCATGTGTTTTTCAGATCTTCCTCTTAATAACAGACACCTTTGTTCTTTATTTAAAAAAATAGCAGAAGAAAGGATCTTTCTCCTACTGGTGTTTTTCTTTCGAGAGGAAATTCCTAGAAGTAATATAATATTGATCAGTGTGAATTTAAGATTTAAGCAGCTGTGCTGAGCTGTTTTTCTCATAAGGCCGTGGTGTTTGTAATCCCCAGCCATCTCTCAGCCTGCATGTTTCCTGAGTACTTCGGAAGTACTGGGCTTGGCTCCAGCTTTTCTGATTTGGCATGTCTGGGAGTAGAGCCCAAGACTTAGTTTTTTTGAAAGCCCCCTAAAGATTTATTACCTTCCCAATGTGGGAAGCAATCACCTATGAACAAATGTGTTGAAATGATAAATTTGTCAAAAAAAAAAATCTTCATCTTAGCCTTTCTCAAGCTTTGTAGTCATGTCTTCATCCCATTTAGTTGCATGGTTGTCTTTGAGTAGACGGAGCCCCCTTACCAAGTAATCCCTACTGGCTCAGGTGCCTGACACCAGAGGTGTTCCTTTCTCACTTTCTATGCCCAGGTGAGTCAGTTAAGATGAGTGGGCATCTTCCCTGCCCACTAGAAGTTTGAATCTTCCAGTCCTGTGGTTCTGCCATCTTGCACTTGTCTGTTTGCGATCAGTGTAAGGGGTAATAGAGAATGCAGAGGAAACGGGCCTGCTCCTCTCTGGCCCAGACCTGGAAATGCCTTACATCACTTCCTGTCACATCACATTGGCCAGAATGCAACACGTGGCCATGACCTATCTGTGACAAAGACTGGGAGATGGAGTCTAGCAATGGGTTCTTGGAGAAAAGGATTGATAATTTTTTTTCAAGATTTATTTGTTTGCAAGAGTTACAGAGTTAGAAGGAGAAACACACAGAGAAAGGTCTTCCATCTGCTGATTCATGCCCCAAATGGCCATAATTACCAGAGTTAGGCCAAGGGAAGTACACAAGCCAGGATCTCCATCTGGGTCTCCTACATGGATTCAGAGACCCAAGCACTTGGACCATCCTATGCTGCTTTCCCAAGCACATCAACAGGGAGCTGCATTGGAAACAGAGCAGCCCAGACTCAAACTGGCACCCATGTGGGACGCTGGTACTACAGGCAGCAGCTTAACCCACTGAGCCTCTACACATGCCAGAAGATATGTAGTTTTGAAGAATTCACATAGCTGTTGTCACAAACAGTTCTCTGAATATTAAACAATGCTGATAAAGCTGTAACAATTTCCAACAGGGACAAAAGAAATGCTGATTAACTACCAGAATGTCAGATAAGGACGTGAGAGGAAATAGGGCTGCACTGCTGCTCAGAGAAGCTTTCCTGCAGTCTTGGTGTTTTCCTTAAGTACAGAAAGTCATATATCACATAACCACAGGGGTCCATTGTGAACTGTATCCCCAGCTAATTCACCCTTGTACTAACATCATAGAGAGTGTTTACGCAAATGCCGATGACTACACAATCATTGGGTGCTAAAACCATGTGGGACCACCATCACATATGGGGATATTTCAAGGAGGTTATTGAAAATGTGCATTTATCTTTTCATTCCATTTCCCAGGAAGTTCTCTTGCAATGGTAAGTGATGTGTGACTGTATAAGCAGTCAGGGCCTCATGGACTGATTGATTTTTGGATGACATACTTTCTGTTTGCTTCATAACCACTAGCATAATCCTCCACTGAATAAAGAGTTCAACAAGTAGAAAGACCGCCTGCCGTTGCGCAGGAGAATAGATGAGGGCTATAAAGTGTAATCAAGTCTCAAGACGTCAAGTTCACCCTGCGTCTTTCTGTACTGCCTATACTAAAGCGATTCTGCAATGCAGCAAACAAAGTGATAGAATTATCCCAGTGTGCACAGAAATTCTTAGTAGGTGAAGCTACAGCTGGAAACCTTCCTTTCGGAGTGGTTAACTTTGGGGAAATTTTTTTTAGAGTCAAGGTCAGTAACCACTAGATAATATCTCCTACTAGCTGCAATGTGAAAAACTGACTGAAAAACTAAATAGAAATGTTGATTATTACACTGGCCTACCTTTCTGTTTCAAAGGGAATTCACCCTAGACATGTTTGCATCCCTGTGCTCTGCACCTTGTGTCACGTGGGCTACATTGCATCCTGTCCCATAAATCACCATGGGGTGAGCCCAAGGAGAGATGCATGACTTGCCACAGTTGGCAAGTTGAGGAGGTTTTGCTCTTTCCTTTTCAGAGCATAATGAATGTCCACGGTAAATGCTTCTGGCTTTGTCACTCCTTGCAGACCCGCTGGGGACTGAGTGCACAGAGCAGGACTGCTGGACCGCAGGGTCCTCCCCTGCTGTTCCATTGACCCAACCCTGTGTTTCTTCTTGCCTTGCCCAGAGGTACGAAGAGCAGGAGCTGCTGCGCCTGATCTACTATGGGGGCATCCAACCAGCCATCCGCAAGGCCGTGTGGCCCTTCCTACTGGGCCACTACCAGTTCGGGATGACGGAAATTGAGAGGAAGGAGGTCAGTCACCTGCTGTGAGTGAGGGTGGCGGTGTCCTCAGCTACATAAGGAGCTGGATGCCGTGAAGCTGGGAGAGCTGTGGCTTCATGTCGGATGGCCACGGGGATCTCAGTGCCATCTATAGGTGGCTCAGGCACATACGGAAAGCCTTCAGTGAGCTGTGTGATTGCGAAATCAGGATGGATTTGCGTGCAGTTGTAGTGGAGAGATATTATATATCGTTTACTCGATTTTCCCCAAAGGTCACACCTTAACAAAAACTATAGTGTGATGTTACAACTGGATTATTGCATTGATATTGGTGCAATATACTGATCTGATTGAGGTTTCCTTGGGTACATATAATATCACTCATGGGCTATGCAAAATGATCAATTAGCTTGCCTTCTATTTGTTGAATTTGAAGTCCCCTCTGGTGTTGTGCTTATTGAATCAAACCAATTGATTTCATCTATCTTATCTGGTCCAAGGACTAGATGTTTCCCTCTGCCAAATAGTTCTTAATCATATGTGTGGTTTGTAAAAATTTTCGCCTGGACTAAATTGTGTGCTTTCATCTTCTGTAGTCTTTTTCAAATTAAATTTTTAAATTTCTGATGAGATTTAGTTTACCAGGTTTTTCAGAGAGTTACAGAGAGAGGGAAAGAGACAGAGCTTCTACCCACTGGCTCATTCCCTAGATGTCTGCAATAGCCAGGTCTAGTCCAGGAGACAGAACTTCATCCGGGTCTCCCATGTGGCCATCTTCCCGCTGCCCTCCCAGGCACACCATCAAGGAGCTGGGTCCAAAGTGAAGCAGCCAGGACTCGAACCAGCCCCCATATGGAAGCTGGTGTTGCAAGTTATCAGCTTACCCCATCAGACCATAATGTTGGCCCCTGTGTTTTTCATTTTACAAAATGTACTTTTGGGGCATGGCTTGATAGCCTTAGTGGCTAAATCCTTGCCTTATAACCACTAGATCCCATATGGGTGCTGGTTCGTGTCCCGGCTGCTTCACTTCCCATCCAGCTCCCTGCTTGTGGCCTGGGAAAGCAGTGGAGGACGGCCCAAAACCTTGGGAGGGACCCTGCACCCACAAGGGAGACCCGGAAGAAGCTCCTGACTCCTGAGTTTGGATGGGTTCAGCTCTGGGCATTGCAGCTATTTGGGGAGTGAACCAGCGGATGGAAGATCTTTCTCTCTTGTCTCTCCTTCTCTCTATAAATCTGCTTTTCTAATAAAAATTTAAAATCTTAAAAAAAACTTATAAGAACCAGAGAGGAGATGGAGGCTGGGTAGAGCAGCCCCCTCACCCCTTCACCTCCCATCAAAGAGCTGATTGTACCTGCTGCTCTAAAGGAATTGCTTTCCAGGCCAAGAAGGTGAGGCAGGGCTTGCTAGAAGCAGGGTCAGCAGGAGGAAAAGCCTGGAGGGGAGGCCACGAGGATACAAGGAGCTAGGCAGGAGGGCACAGGCTGTTAAGGTGGGTAGAGGCAGGGGCAGCAGGGAGAAGTGAGGCTGCTGAGAGGTACTTGAGGAGGAGGGGCTGGCCTGGGACTAGCAGGACACTGGGAGGAAGGAGGATGGTGAGGGGTCCTGGCAGCCAAGGATGGCAGTGGGAGTTGAGAGGTTGCAGGATTTGTGGGAATGTTAGGGAAGTGCATAGGAGGGCACCACTCAGGCCCCTCCCCCAGCTGCCCTGAGTGCCCACAGTACAAAGTGCCTGTGCCCATTGCTTTCTCTCCACACAGCAGGCGCTGTCAGCATGGTGGGGGATAGCTGAGGGGTGGGGTTTGGGTCAGAGATGCTATCTTCCAGCGGGGCTGGCTGGACCCAGAGGTCCTGGCACCCCGGGTGACCTCGACATATGTCCCTGCAGGTGGATGAGCAGATCCATGCCTGCTATGCACAAACTATGTCTGAGTGGTTGGGCTGTGAGGCCATCGTGCGGCAGAGGGAGCGGGAGTCCCACGCGGCTGCCCTGGCCAAATGCTCATCGGGGGCCAGCCTGGACAGCCACCTGCACCGGATGATGCACCGGGACTCCACCATCAGCAACGAGGTGACGGGCAGCTGGCTCAGGGGATCTGGGTGGATGGGGGTGAAGGCCAGGCCTGCTCCATCAGCCAAGGCATGGTAAGGGCTGGCTGTCAGGATCCCTGGGACAGCGTCGCTCCTAGCCTAGTTGGTTTTCTGAGGAAGGGATAACTTGGGGATCAGACCCTGGCTCCAACTTGAGCCACACTCTTTGAAGATCCAGGAGTGTCTTTGCTTCTGAACCTCAGTGTCTCTGTCAATACAATGGGTGTAATCATGCATCTAGATGAGATTTGTATGTAGCACAGGTAAGATCTGAAGCAGCAAATGGCATGGGATCTCATGTCCATGGATTCAACAAATGGTTATTGAGTAGTTATTGACACTGCTAGGTGTCAAGCGTGTCCTTGAAATGTCCAGAATGTTCCATCAGTCAAGGTAGATGTGCCTGCTCTCCCAGAACTTCTGGATTATTAACAACCTTAAGCAGGAGCTCAGCTCCAAGTTAAATCTCTTCCTTGAGCTTGGCTGGTGGGGCTCACTTTGATGGCAGCTGTCAGTGACCCATCAGTGAAAAAGTTTTTATTGCTCTTCAGTGGGCTTTCTCACCTGTTTGCTGTCATTTACTCCTGCTTCATCTGCTGCATCTGCCCAGCAGGCCAACCTGGCCATGTTCTTGTGGTGAGGGCATATGCTAAGAGCAGAAATACCCCAGCACTAAGCCTCTGCTGCGTCAAGTGAGTTGGAAGTCCTGGACCAAAGAGAGCCTCTCAGTCAAACCTGGTGTCAGAGTGAGCAGAGACAGGGCAGGAGGGAGTGGGACCAGAACCAAGTTACAGGTGCAAGCGGGTGGGTGGAACTAGACTATCAGCCAGCAGTCTTCAATACAGAGCAGTTTGAAATGGGGCACTGTGAGGTGGGATTGGAAGCCCAGAGGGCAAAGTGAGGAGATTCAGGGGAGCAGAGTGGAGTTCCCCTTCTCTCTCCCCACAGATTAGAAGCACAGTCTTTGAGTGGGGACTTGTCCAGGGTGGCAGTAGAACTGGAGCCAGACTCCCCGGCTCGCAGCCCAGTAGCCTCTCAGGAGCCAGGCCAGCCTACAGCCTCACCGCCTCTCCCTCTTGCCCTTCTCTCCCACAGTCATCCCAGAGCTGCAGTTCCGGCCGCCAGAACATCCGCCTGCAGAGCGACTCCAGCAGCAGCACCCAGGTGACCTGCCCAGGGGCCACCCCCCCACCCAGCCATGCCCCTCCCTCCCAGCTGGTAGATGTCTGTCATCAACCAATTGCTTTCTGGGTTGTGTTCTAGCTTTTTTCTATGAACCTTGAGACTGGATTGTTGTTGTTGTTTAGCGACTCCTGTAATACAGCTGTCCCTTGTTATCCACAGGGGATTGGTTCCAGAACCCTCCCAAGGCTACCAAAGATGAAGCTCGTGTCTGTTGTGCAAAATGGTGCAGGCATTTGCCTGTAACCTGTGCACTAACTTCCATGGGCTTTAGTTTATATAAAATGAAGGCCACATAAATGGTTCCTGGATGGTGTTGTTTAGGGAATAATGACAGGAAAAAAATAACTCTGGGTGTGTGTAGTACAAACTCATTCCCCTGGATATTTTTTAATCTGCAATTGGGTGAGTCTATGGATGTGACTATAGTGGATAAGAAATCTGTTCTCCCTGTAAAAAAAAAAAATAAGAGGTTGCAGAGAAAATTAAATTCTGCTTTGATCCTCTAACCCCAGCCTGCCCTCCCTGACACAGGAATAATATCTAGCAGGGGTTGGTGCTTTTAGAATTTCTTCATAAATACTGTTATAATTATTGTTGGGCAGCTCCCCCATCTTATTAGGGATAAACTCAGTCTCCTTCAATATTAAAGAAAAACGCAGAGAATGTGCATAGAATCCTTTTATGAGCAAAGAGGAAATATTAGCTGGTGTATCGTTATGCAACTAAGAAAATAGTGGTGATAATTAGAACAATTACCAAGGCAGGAAGGAGAAAGAAAGAAGCTACTTTTCTCAGAATTTGTCTTATTTTCTCATTTTAACTTTGGAATCAAGAATCTCTATTATATATTATAGCTATTAAATGTATACATATATATATATTCATAATTGAAGTCAATAGGATAAAAAAGAAATTTTAAAATAGAAGCTCATGAAATTAATCCTAAATCAAGTTGGTAATATCATTACACCGAAGAGGAATCTTCTAAGAGACTTGGGGCACAGGCTTGTGTCTGTGATAAGACGTGATTTAAGGACACAGGGAGCTGCAATTGAATCTTTCAAATGTACTCAAGATAATTTTTTCTTATATTTTTTTATATATCTAACCACTTTTGCAAATTGAACCATATTTAGCAACTACATGACCATGGTATGCTTTTTTTTCCCAGTCCCTTCCTTATGTTAACTTGTGTTTTTTCTACTTGAAAGAATTACATTCATGTGGTGTAAGTGTGTACAATAAAAAGGCTATGCTCTCATCTCAGGTCCCCAGCCTACCTTCCTCAGTACCCACTTCAGTCCTTTTGTTGTTTCATTCTGGATTATTCTACGCGTGCATGGACTCAGAGAGGACTCTTGTTCGCTTCTACTTGCCCTGTCTCACTCTTCTCTGAGGAACGCAGCAGGTTCCATGTTTAAACTGACCAGTGGCTGTTGGATACTTAGTTTGCTATCCTAAGCAGTATAAACATCCTAGTCCGTTGTCCTTGTGCACTTGTCTGCAGGTGTTTGAGTCAGTGGATGAGGTGGAGCAAGTGGAGGTAGAAGGCAGGTTGGAGGAGAAACAGCCCAAGATCCCCAATGGGAACGTGGTCAACGGCACTTGTTCCCCGGACTCTGGTCATCCTTCTTCCCACAACTTCTCCTCTGGCCTCTCGGAGCACTCGGAGCCCAGCCTGAGCACAGAGGACAGTGTCTTGGATGCCCAGAGGAATGTTCTCCCAGCACTCCGCCCTGGGGACAGCAGCATGGATGACGGACAGAGCAGCGAGGCCACCACTTCCCGGGACGAGGCCCCCCGCGAGGAGTTGGCTGTGCAGGACAGCCTGGAGAGCGACCTCCTGGCCAACGAGAGCATGGACGAGTTCATGTCCATCTCTGGCAGCATAGACGTGGCCCTGCCTGACAAGGATGGTGCCATGATAGAGAGCTGGCAGGTCAGCGAGGCGGAGAAGCACAGCCGGGCAGACAGTGAGGACAACCTGTCCGAGGAGCCCGAGATGGAAAGTCTTTTTCCTGCCCTGGCCTCGCTGGCCGTGGCCACTTCTGCCAACAGTGAAGCGTCCCCTGTGTCATCCAGTGGCGTCACCTACTCTGTAAGTCACCTAGGCTCTCTCTCCTCCTCTCTGTTGTGTTAGCTGCAGGGGACGGGGTGGCTGGAGGGCAGGGACTGGGCCACCAATTTCAGTGGTACAATGCAATCCAAGAATGAGACTCCTGGTACATAGCATTTTCTCCACCAACAAGGACCCACTTGGGAGAGAGGATGATAGTGGTTGAGCATCCCTAATCTAAAACTCTGAGACCAGAAATGCTCCAAAATCCTCAACATGATAAATGCCAGCATGCTGCCCCAAGTAGAGACTCCCACACCTGATCTCATGGGATCGGTCACTTTTACAGCAGGTGCTCTAAGGGTGTTGCATGATATTGCCTCACCTTTATGTAGAAGATGTACACAAGGCATAGAAGAATTTCAAGTATAGACTTGGGTCTATCCCCCAACTGGGCCATTGCGTAAATATACAAATAGACCACCCCAAATAATTCCATACATGTCTGTCCTTAAGCATTTGGGATAATGGCTGGAAGAGTCCAAGAATGTGACCTTGATGTGAACAGTCCTGGGGTAAAATCTCAGTTTCACTGAATCCCTTTGTGTTTCTGGATGCTGGCTTCTCTGTGCAGAACTTTCCTGCCTGAGTTGCCCACAGAATTCACAAGGCCACGTCCTGTGCAGCTGGCACGGGGGGAAGCACTTGAGGGAAAGTGGCCTTGACTGTGTTGACTCAGGTGCAATGTCTGTCAAGTGTTCAAGTTCACTTACTTGCTGCAAAATTCAAATCCAAGACACTCTTCTGGGTCTCCCATGATCCAAGTATTTAGATCCAGACCCATCAAATCCAAGGTGAAAAGAGGGATCTTTGGAATCAGGTCCTACGCATCCATCTTCTTGATAAGGACTCGTTATTTTCTATCAAAGAGATCCAAGCCCGAGGTTTGAGGAGTTCAGACATGGAGATAAGGCTTCATGCAGAACCCAGAAGGTCCCTTCTCTCCCATCCCTCCCCTGAAACACTCAGACTTGGGTTTACTTTCTGTCAAGAGATGAGTCAGTTGTGACCTCTGTGTTGCTAACACACCTGCAGCACAGCTTTTCAGTCTTGTTTTTAGTTATCTGTTAACTCCCTGGAGTGGAAGAGAAGGCTTTAGCTTCCAATTCTTCCTCCATTGCAAACCCTTGCCAAGCAAGTGACATTGTCCCATTCCCATCCTTGCAGTATACTCATAGAATCTTTGGGGTAGATGCCTGTTCAGTGTATGCCTGGCTATAGTGTGTGAGTCATGTCTTTGGCAGTGTTTATTGTTTCTTAGCAAAAAAAAAAACAAAACAAAACATTCTCCTCCCTAGGTGTGTTTTCATTTTTGTGTCTCTTCCTTTTTTAGAAGTTTTAAATTTATTTTTAAAAAATTTATTTTTAAATTTATATTTGAAAGGTACACACACACACACACACACACACACACACACACACACACAGGTGTTTCCTCCATTGGTTCATTCCCCAATGCCCACAGAAGCCAGGGCTGAGCCAGACTGAAGCCAAGAGCCAGGAACTCCATCCGGGTCTCCCAAAGGAGTGGCAAGTATCCATCTATTTGAGCCTTTGCCTGTTGCTTCCCGGGGTGTGCGTGAGCCAGACGTTGTATCAGGAGCACTCTGATCCGGGGCATCCCATGTAGCAGCTTCATTGCTATGTGGACCAGACACCTGCCCTCATGTTACGTGCCCTGGGTTTGCTGTAGGTTTATCATCAGCTTACCCACACCCAAGAGTTCTTGGCCAGTTTCCTTCGGTTAATAATTTATTTGAGATGGAGAGATCCTCTACACAGTGTTCATTCTCTCAGTGCCTGTAAGAACCAGGGACTAAGCCAGGCCAAAGCACAGAGCCTTGGAACTCCATCTGGGTCTCCCATGAGGGTGGCAGGGACTGGACTGCTTGAACAAATCTTTGGGCCCAGTGCAGTTCCTAGCCCCTGGCTGGGCCTCACACACACACTTAGCTGCTGTGGCTGTTGGGGGAGTGAACCAGCAGATGAAAGATTTCCCTTCTTCCCCCTGTCTCCTCCCCTCCTTATCTCTCTTCTTCTCTCCCTCTCTCCTGGTTTCTCCTGTGTCCATCTCTCCCTCCTTCCCTCTTCTTTTCAAATAAATAAATCTTTTTTTAAAAAAAGTGATTTGGTAGCTTCTCCCAAGGTTAAAAGGGAGCTTCTCTGTTTTCTTACCTCTCTAGATTAATATCTGGTCCTTAAATATTCCTTATCCCCTTTTTTTCTTGGGCTGTATCATAGAACTGTCTCATCACAGTTGTTGGCTAAGGTGTCTAGTCTAATGCATTACCACAACTGGAATTCTCTTCTTTCTCCTTGTTCAGTGTTCATGAAAGAGGACTGGCTCCTTTTTTTTTTATTAATTATTGTTATTTTTATGATTTTTACATAGTTGATTAGAGTGATGACAGTCAAGGGCTGCTGGAAGGTGGGTGAAATCACCATTTTCACAGTCTTTTTTTCCTTCCTGTATCTGAGTGGAAGGAGGAAGAAAAGGGGAGAAGCCACACCCAGCGTGCCAACCATCTCAGGGTCCCTGATGTGAGGCATGCTCTGAGGGTCCTGCGCAAGAGGTTTTGATAGTTCAACAGTTCTGAATTACTGGACTGGCTCCATTTTTAGTTCTGAGACTCAGTTTCCTTATTTTTAAAATGGGAATGTTAGTTGTATTCTCTTCATGGGAGTGTCTCATTTTCTAAAGGAATAAGCAAGATTTTCCATCATAGATGGATGGCAAAAGAGGCTTTGCTAGGAAACATAGAGGAAGCCTGGAAATGAGCGAACAGTGAACACTCTTCCGAGTGGCAGGTGCTCATGTCAGTGAAAGCAGAAGGGGCTGGGAGGGACAGAGAGGCATTCTACTTCCCAGTGGGAGAATTCAGTGGGATCTTTCTCTTCTTTTCCTCATCCCCTGCTGCTGGGGGCTACAGCCAGAACTGCTGGACCTGTACACGGTGAACCTGCACCGCATTGAGAAGGACGTGCAGAGATGCGATCGCAACTACTGGTACTTCACGCCCGCCAACCTGGAGAAGCTGCGCAACGTCATGTGCAGGTGGCTGGGGTCGGGCACGGCCTCTGGAGAGAAGGAGGAAGAGGTCAAAGGGCATAGGGGTGGCAAGGCAGGGGCTGCTGGGAGCCTGGCCATAACTGCTTTCTGTCTCTGCAGTTGGCATGATGCCCACCTGGTATCATATCTCAGTCTACCCCACAATTAATAACAATGGCATCGGACATTTAGTAAGCACTTGCTGTATACCAGACGCCTCCCTGAGCATGTACTATCATCTCATTGTCCGCAAACAACCCTATGAGGTAACTGCCATCCCCTTTTGTGGGTGAGGCTGTGGAGGTCCAGATGGGACCCCCCCAAACACACACTGCTCAAAACTCCCCAGCTCAACAGAGGCTGAGCCAGCAGGAGCTCATGACCTTGTCTCTTTGGCTGTCCATCCATTGGTTCACTTTCCAAATGACCATAATGGCCAGGCCTAGGAGGCTGAATCTCCATCCGGGTCTCCCACCTGGGTGGCCGGAGTCCAAACACTCGAGCCATCAGATACTGTCCTTCCACATGCAGTGGCAGAAAGTTAACTTGGAAGTGAAGCAGCCAGGATTCAAACTAGCCTTCTGATATAGAATGCAAGCTGCACCTTAACCCACTGTGTTAGGACCCTAGTCCCAATTTCTTTTTAATCCAAGATTAATTGGTGTATTGGTGTTTTCTAAAATATGGAAGTAACCTCCGTTTGGGGCTGATGGCAGTGGTGTAACACATTAATCCTCTGCCTGCAGTGCTGGCATCCTGTATGAGTGCTAGTTCAAGTCCTGGTTACTCCACTTCTGAGCCAGCTCCCTGCTTATGGCTTGGGAACGCAGCAGAGGATGGGCCAAGTCCTTGGGCCCTTTCCCCCACATGGGAGTCTCAGAAGAAACTCCTGGACCCTGGCTTGAGATTGGCTCAGCTCTGGTTGTTGTGGGCATGTGGGGGAGTCAACTAGTGCATGGTAGATACTGCTCTGTCTCTCCTTCTCTCTCTGTGAATCTTTAATTTTACAAATTAAAGTAAATCCTTGAAGAAAAAAGTAGCTCCTGCTTATGAAGGCTCTAAACCAATTTAGGAAATCAGAAAATCATGATACAGAAGGATGAAGTTCTCTTTCCATGGCCACTCAGCAGTGTCACTGACACAGAACTAGTGAGTGACTGCTGACAGTTTAGTAAATATCCCCTAAAGTCATATGGATATCTTAATCCAATAACCAATTGATTGTGTATTATATAATATATTGCATAACATATGTATTTTTTTTATTAAAAGATTCACTTGTTTTTCTTGAAAGACTAAATTACAGAGAGAAAATGGGACAAAGAAAGCTGGTGGTGTGACAAAATTAAGGAAAACCGAGGCCAGTTCCTGGCTCCTGGCTTTGGTTCAGCTCAGCTGTAGACATTGCAGCCATTTGGGAAGTGAACCAGAAGATCTTCATCTCTCTGTCTCTCCCCTTGCTCCTCTCTCCCTCCTTTTTTCTCTCTGTAACTGTTTCAAGTAAAAATAACTAAGTCTTAAAAATTGAGGAAAACTGAAGATCCCATTTAGCGTAGAGGGTTAAGATCACATACCTTCAAGTAAGGCCTCCTGGGTTCCCACGCTGCTTCTGTAAGGTATACAGTTCTGGGCATGTCATTGATCTCTTGCAGCCTCAGTCTCCTCATCTGTGCAATGGGACACTGATGCAACTTATGGGATTACTTTGAAAATTAAAAGACGCAATGCATGTCTTGTGGGCCAAATGCTCATTAGATACAAGTTGTCACGAATCAAGGGGCAGATCAGAATGTCACAGGGACCTGCCAGGCTAGAGACAGACGTGATGTGTGCTATGTTTGTACAAAGTACTTCCATGTGAATAGAGAAAAAGCTGTCCTACTAAGTCACATGTGAGACAGTGAAGGTGATGTGTGGGGCGCCAAGCATACCATGTTGAACCTCATCACATCAGGTGGCTGAGAACCTGGGGAGTTCTCGGGGCCTGGAAGTGGAGTCTGTGAACTGTGCTTCTGAAAGATCGACCTGATGGCTGCCTCTCCCATGGCTGCTTGCAGGGAGTGAAGCTGAGGCTGGGGGTGCAAGCAGGAGGTTGAGGGAGTAGTCTGGGTGGGGAATGGGGGAGCAGATGTGGGGCTGGGGAGGGGGAGGGTTGTGGGTGCCATCTCTGAGTCCTTTGTTCTCTCGCAGCTACATCTGGCAGCACATTGAGATCGGCTACGTGCAGGGCATGTGTGACCTCCTGGCCCCACTGCTGGTCATCCTGGATGACGGTGAGTGTGCGGCCTGCCTCTCCACTAGGGGGCAGGGTAGTTCCTGGGTCAGGACGGGTGCTTGGAATACCCACCTGTGAACAGCCTAGTGAAATCAGAATTCCTGTGTTCCACAGTGCCCAACATGAACGCCCTGCCAGGCCTTTGTCAGGCAAACATCAGCCAAGGAGGGAGTGATTTCTACTCACTGTGGGAGCCCGGGCCTCCCATAAGGGTGCTGGCCTGCATGGCGCCCTCACGCCAACACCAGACAAAGACATTGCAAGAAAACTTATAGACCTGTGTCCTCTGTGAAAGTAAATGTGAAAATCTTCACCAAAATACCAACATACAGACACCAACTAGATATATAAAGGTCTTACCCCTGGCCATGGGGGATTTATCCTGAGAAAGCAAAGGTGATTTCATGTAACAAAAACATCAGGATGGTTTACCATGTGAAAAAAAAAAAAATCAGGAGTAAAACCATACAGTCATATCAATTGATCACCCCATCATCTGGTTCACTCCCAAATGGCCAGAATGAGCAGGACTGAGCCAGGCGGAAGCCCAAGATCTGACATTCCATCTGGGTCTGGGTCTTCCATGTGGGTGACAGGAGTCCAAGGACATAGGCAATCTTCTGTCACCTTCCCAGGTGGATTATCCAGGAACTGGACTGGAAGTAGAACACCTAGGATGTGAAACAATACATAGTGGCTTACCCTCCTGTACCACCATCCCTGTATAGATTTATATTTAAGATTTTCATTTTATCTGAAAGGGAGTCCAAGACAGGGGGAGAGATCTTTTATCTACTGCTCCACTCCCCACATGCTCACACAATCAGGGCTCGGCCAGGTCAAAACCAGGAACCCAGAACTCGACCTGGGTGTCCTGCATGGGTGACAGGAGACTCAAGTCCTTGAGCCGTCAGTCCCCTGACATCTTCCAGGGTGTATGTTAGCAAGAAGCTGGGGCACAAGCAGAGGAGCCAGGACTTGAACCGGCACTCTGATGGGGGATGCAGGCTCCCAAGTGGAACCTTGACTGTTGAGCCAGATGCCTGCGAGGCCAGGAGGGACCTTTAAAAAGGAACAACTTGTGTAACGTTGGTTTCCTGAGTCAGCACCACTGAAAAGACTTGTGTGGCCGACTAGCGCCCCCTGGCGATGCAGTACCCTTGGCCCTCCACTGCCCTGGTGCTGGGCAGTGATCTGACCTCGGGCATGACCCTCTGACTGTGCTGCTTTCACAGAGGCCCTGGCCTTCAGCTGCTTCACAGAGCTCATGAAAAGAATGAACCAGAACTTCCCACACGGAGGCGCCATGGACACACACTTTGCCAACATGAGGTCGCTGATCCAGGTACACGCCTGCCTTCAGTTCTGCTTTGGAGTGCAGTGGGAGGCAGTACGTAGAGCTTGGTCATGAAAAACAAGCGTGGTGTGGAGGCAGTCTGCCTGGGAATCCTGTTCCTGCTGTTTGCTAGCTGTGTAACTTTGGCCTTGGGTCTTGTTTCTTCATCTAGAAAATGGGCCATTTTCTCTTTCGTATGATTCCCAGTAAATGTCTACAGTTACTGTGGCCTGCCAGTGCCTCTCAGAGTATATTAGCTCTCTAGATTTCAAAAAATGTTTTTATGCTTGTTTATTTGTTTTGAAAGGCAGAGAGAGAGAGAGAGAGAATGAGGGAGTGTATTATCTTCTGTCTGTTGGTTCACTCTCCCAAATGGCTACAATAGCCAGAGCTGGGCCAGAAGGAAGTCAAGAACCAGGAATTTCTTTTGGGTCTGCCACATGAGTGCAGGACCCTAAGCATGTGGTCCAGACTCCACTGCTTTTTCAGGTGCATTAGCAGAACGTTGGATGAGAAGCCAAGCAACTGGGATTCATACTGGTACTCCAATATGGGATGCAAGTGATGGATGTACCCACCATGCCACAACGCCAGGCCTTGACCTGATGCTAGCGCAATAGCATCCCTAGGAGTTAATATTTCTGCCTCTCCAGGGAAGTGAAACGCTCACCACTTTGAGTGGAAGGAATGGAAATATATTAACCCGGGGATATGTTACTATCTGCGCACAGCAACGGAGCTATAGTAGTCATCAAGTTAGCTCTGTTAAAAAATAGATATGGAATCTTTTGGGTGGAGTAAAAACTAATGTAAAATATAGAACGATGTAACCAACGCCCATGTGTCTGTTACTGTCTGCTCATGAAATGAAACATTAACCACAGATTTCCAGCCTTCTTGTCTGCCTCCCGTGGTTGCATTTCCTCCACTTTTACCTTCTTAGTAGTAATTGCTTTCCAGAATTTGAGGTATATCATTACAATGCATTAAGAAGCCTTTATTACATAAAAGAGAGATCTTTAAAATGTTCGTGGAAAGAGCATATGGAAAAATTACACACAATTTTCAAAGATGTTTGCACCAAAGTAAATCTTTTAATTTTAGTTTCCCATGAGCCTTTAATTACCCATGTGCATATGTCCCTGAAAACATATCATTTGACTTCTCCAGCTCCCCTACTTGACAGAAATAGTTTCCAAAAGTCTGAATTCCCCTGCAGCTTGTCTTGATCCTTGGTCCCACATCAGGGTTTGTAATCTCATCCATTCCTCCACTGTGTGGTATCTCATTTGCATCTGCTGATGAATATTTATGTCATATCCATTTGGGTTTAGTTAGTTTTGCTCCAGGGGGATTAGAGTTCCTTGTTTTTGTGCTTTTTTTTTTTTTTCTAGTTTTATTTTGTTTTGGTTTTTGGCCTTCACAAACCGTGCTGTGCTGAAATTCACATGCACAGCTTCTCATGTGTACATGAAGTGACATAGCTGGACCAGAGAATGCGAGCAGTTTCAGGTCATTTGACGTGGCAGGATCAACTGTGTCATTGTCGCATTGAACCCTGTGCTTAATTGCGGTGTCCAGAAGCTCTTCAGGAGGTTTGTGGGCAAGTGGTATTGAAGGTTCAACTTATTTCGGTGCAAAGAATTTTGAAATCCATGCATACAAGAGATTGCCAGAAAGTTTTGCTTGTTAGGGAAAAACTATGTGGAATCTACTTTTTTTTTTTTTGCACTAAAATAAGCATATATTTTTCATCCTCCATGACCTTTTCTAAAAGATAGAGAGAGAGAGAGTCTGTTCACTGGTTCCCCGCCCCCCACAAATGGCAAAAGGCTGCAGTGGATGGGTCTGGGCCAGCTAAAACCAGAAACCTAGCACTCCATTTGGGTCTGCCCTATGGGATCATCTTATGCTGCTTTCCCTGGTGCATTAGCGGGGAGCTGGACCAGAAGTGGAGCAGTAGTACTGGTGTGGTGGCACAGCCCATGGGCTACCACGCCAGCATCCCATGTGGGCACCACTTCGAGTCCTGGCTATTTCACTTCTTGCTAATTCCCTGTTAATGCCCTGGAAAAGTAGTTGGAAATGGCTCAAGTGCTTGGAATCCTGTCATCCACATGGGAGAGCCAGATGATGCTTCCGGCTCCTGGCTTCAGCCTGGCTTAGCCATGGCCATTGTGGCTATCTGGAGGGTGAACCAGCAGAAGAAAGATTCCCTCTCTCTTTCTCCCTTTGTCTCTGTAATTCACTTTCACATAAATGGATAAATTTTAGGGGGGAAAAAAAGGAAGTGGAGCAGCCAGGACTCAAAGCAGCACTCGGTGTCTTAGGTATTGGCTTAACCTGCTGTGCCACAATGCTGGCTCCTCCTTAAACTTTTGAAATCTCCTTCGAGGGGCCCAGTGTGATGATCTAGTGGTTAGATCCTTGCCTTGCATGCACTGGGAACCTATATGGGTGCTGGTTCATAGCCTGGCTGCTCCACTTCCCATCCAGCTCCCTGCTTGTGGCCTGGAAAGGCAGTGGAAGATGGCCCAGAGCCTTGGGACCCTGTGCCCACATGGGAAACCCGGAAGAGGCTCCTGGCTCCTGGCTTTGGATCAGCTCAGCTCTGGCTGTTGCAGCCACATAAGGAGTGAACCAATGGACAGAATTTTCTCTCTATATCTCTTTCTCTATATATACCTGCGTTTCCAGTAAAAAATAAAACACGTCTTTAAAAAAGAAGAAGAAGAAGAAGAAACCCCCTCGGTTAGTGGTTTTCAGCAAACTCCATTCTTACTGCATCAATGCCACACTTCATTTTTGCCAATCTCTTAGATCTGACTGGCGCATCCCATTGTGACTTTGTGTTTTATTAAAAAAATATGACTGAATGGCTTGCTTTCTTTCTTATCTTTTCTTATAGCTTACTTAGGTTGGTTTCCCCCTGTATTGCCTGTTCATATGTTTTACCCATTGCAAGTGCTCATTTTCCACAGTTAGAATCAGGCAGTACACATCTTGCCTTTCTTTGTGTGTGTCCTAAGACCTGCTTTCTTCCCACCTGCCACCTGCCAGTGTAGTAAGTGATAGTTGTCGCTGCTGCTTGTTTTCACAACAATTCTAACGAGATAGCATTCAGGCAGTGTAGCATTTTGCAAATTGAGTCATCTGCGAGTTGTGCAATCATCACTGATTTCACAATATTTTCATTGCCCCCCACAAACGCAGCTCTGTACCCTTGAGCAGACACTTCCCCATCCCTCCTCTGCCCTCAGCCCTTGGAAACTGGGCTCTGTAGGTTTGGCTTCTTTCACCCTCCCGTGTTTCTAAGGCAAATCTGCATTATCACATGTACATATCAAAGCTTGATTAACTTATATTGCCCAGTAATATTCTGTTCTGTGGATATGCCAGCTTTGTGTGTCCGTTCCTCTCTGGGTAGACAGTCTGGTTGTTTCCCGCTGTCAGCTGTTAGGGACAGTGCCACAGAGCACGTTTGTGCAGTCTTCTCATGCTTCCATTTCTCTTGGAGTGGATGTGTGTGTGGTGCTGCTGAGTCAGGTGAGAACTCTGTGTTTAAGTCTTTGAGAGGCTGCACCACTGTTTCCCACAGCAGGTGCATGATGATCCATCTTCAGGAGCAGTGAATGAGGGCTCCAGTTGCTCTAAATCTTCACCAACACTTGCTACTGTCGGCTTTGATTTTAACCATCCTAGTGTGTGTAAAAAGGTATCTGGAGGCTCTGATTTGCCCAGCAAATAATACTGATGGCCATCTGTACAGAGATAGGCATTTGTGCCCTCTGCTCAGTTTTTCTCACTCACTCTGGGGGCTCAGGCATTGGGGTGTCCTTACTATGGCAACCTTCTCCCAGGCAGTGGATGCCCCGTTTCTTTCCTCTGACAGATCCTGGACTCTGAGCTGTTTGAGCTGATGCACCAGAATGGGGACTACACTCACTTCTACTTCTGCTACCGCTGGTTCCTCCTGGACTTCAAGCGAGGTACAGAATTCACAAGGAGGCTTTTTGCTTGTCTCTTTGTCACAGATCCTCGGGGGAGAAGCTACTGAAGAGCTGAGGCTGAGGTTGTGTTGGGTCAAAGACAAGAGATAAATCTAACACATGTATACCTATTGGGTGCAAACTCAGTGCACCTGCCTCATCTTGCACCAACACTACACAGCACGTGCTATTAAGATACCCATTTTACAGATGAGGGAAATAATTAGACAATAACTGGATTCAGAGCCAAGAATAGAAGTAGAGCCAGGACCAAGCTCATCTTCTCCACTTCCACAGCCCAGTTCCCTTGCATTCTAGTAAGCTACTTGCCGGAGGCCAAGAATTCCAGTGACCTCGAGAGGGATGGTTTATGTGTTTCAACAATGATTTAGAAGTGATGTGTACCACAGCACCTTGCCTTTGTGTGCATCTGATCGATGTTTATGACACGTAAAGTGTCTGGAGGCAGTCATTCAGTGTGGCGCACCAGGCTGCTACTCCTTCACAGCAGTCAGCATCACTCGCTTCACCCCACTACATGAGAAAAACAGCCAGCTCCAGTGCTCCCTACTGATCAGGGATGGAGCTGGGGTACAAACTACGTTGATTGGGCTGGAGGCAGGGACAGGGCAGGTGCAGAGGCACGTCACTCAAACCCCCACATGCTCAGTACCTCCATCTGCAGTTGTCAGACCCAGAGGGACCCTAACCCCCACTAGTGGGGTAAATTGGGGCTTCTGCAGCCCAATGGCTGAGTCTACATCTCTTGCCACCTGGCCTGAGCTATGTCTACTGCACCAGGGCGGTGGAAGCCTGGGATGGTCCCAGAGGGATTTCTACAAGCGGGGGGGGGGGGGGGTGAGAGGGGAGCAGCCCCGGGAACCTCACCCCTGACTCTCTCCATTCATCCGTCCGTCTGTCTGTCCCTCTCTGTTTCTCTCACCACCCCTCTTCAACCTGCCACCCTTAGAACTGGTCTATGATGACGTCTTCTCGGTCTGGGAGACCATCTGGGCAGCCAAGCATGTGTCATCTGCCCACTATGTGCTGTTCATCGCACTGGCCCTGGTGGAAGTCTACCGGGATATCATCCTGGAGAACAACATGGACTTCACGGACATCATCAAGTTCTTTAATGGTACCATACAGCCGGGATCCCATCTCAGGGGTATGGGCTTCTGGGGGATCCCGTCCTGGGCTCTTGAGAGGGCCGAGCCTTTGCTCTGACCTAGGATGCTGTTATTTAGCTAGAGTTTTGACATGCTGCAGCACAACAGGAGCCCTGTGGCTTCACTTAAAACAAACAAAAAATTTTTTTCAATTTATTATTTAAAAGGGAGAACTGGAGAGAGAGAGGTCTTCCATCTGCTGGTTCACTCCCCAGATGGCTGCAATGGCTGGGGCTGGGCCAGGCTGGAGCCAAAAGCCCTGTCCTGGTCTCCCATGTGAATGGTAGGGACTCAGCCCCTTCTGCTTTTCCAGGTGCTTTAGCAGGGGATGGGATCGGAAACAGAGCAGTGGGGACTTGAACCAGTGCCCCTGTGGAAGGGTGGAAGGTGTGTCTGCACCTCTTGAACTGGCAGCATCTCAGTTGAACTCCCGAATAGCCTTCTGCAGTGGCACAATGGAGACATTGGGGGCTGGATTTCACGTCCCCCCCATCCCCAGCCACTCCCAGGATCTCTCCTTCCAGAGCCGTCCTGTGATGGGAGGGCCTTGGGGATGGGACATCTCTGAAAGAGAAGACTCACTGGCTTTTGTCTTGGGCTCTTCCAGAAATGGCCGAGCGACACAATGCCAAGCAGGTTCTGAAGCTGGCCCGGGACCTTGTGTACAAGGTGCAGACGCTGATCGAGAACAAGTGAGCAGCCCTCGCCAGGAGACATCAGCCAAGCTGCCACCCGCCTGCCCGTCCCTCTGCCCACGTATCCTCCCAGCTGAAAGCCACTCTGGGAGTGGGAGCAGGGTCCCGGTGTCCATCCACAAGCAAGGACGTCTGTGCCCAGGGAAACCACCTTGACTTTGGCCGCTGCACAGGTGGTGGCCAAGGGGTGTCCCCTTGGGTTCAGCCTTACGTTTTCCTATTTGACCAAAGATGGCCAAGTCTGCAGGTTCTCCCATGTGGGAGCTAGAGATTGTTGGTGGATAAGGACGGGGAGTGCTTCTTCATTCCTGATCCTCTTCCCTGCCTCCCCATTCCTTACCCTCCACTTGGCAGATGACCCCTGGGGAGAGAAGGTTCTGGGGACTAGTCCAGGAGCTATGCCTGGGCTCCCACCTGCTAGGAAAGAGGCCTCTGAGCAGAAGTTCTCTGAGATGGCTGGACAGTTAGCTGAGGGTGGGGTCTTGGCAACCTGGCCAAGGGTCAGCTTGGTAAAGGGGGTCTGCCCTGCGCATTGCGGGACATTGTGTGGCACCCCTGGCTTGTTACCCAGGAAGCATGGCGCTGGTGGCACTGTCCCATCACGCCTACTTTCAAGGATGACAGCTCATACATGGTCACTTGTGCCCTGCCGTGCAAACTGTCTCCACTTGAGAACTGTCGTAGAGAAGGGGCCACTAGTGGGACCTACTCCCTGACTCTCTCGCTGATGCCCTGAGGCCCGAGGCCTCACCCCGTTTCCTGAAGACCCTGTCTTCACTCAGAGTTGTATTCGCTCAATCCCACCTGTCCCCAGAAGTGGAGCTGCTTCCTGTCTTCTGGTCAGAAAAGCAGCTCCCTCTAAGTGCCATGGGGCCCTGGGAAGAAGGATTGGTAGGTGTGGAACGGCCCCTGACTCCTCAGGGTCCTGCTCAGAGCACCGCAGGGTAGGACAGAGCTACAGCCATCTCCCCAGGGGGACCTCATTCACCTCTCCTCCCACGGATTGGGTCTGGGGTCCCTGAGGCCTGGAGAGGTGTCATTGGTGAATGCCTCTGGATCCGGAGGCTGGCTTTCTTCTAAGTGTCCTTGCTCACTCAGGCTCAGGGGGAGGGGAGAATCTTGGCCAGGATAGTAGGTGTTGTGTGTTTGCTTTGGGAAATATTTGTGGGTGAACTGGGGCCAGACCTGGGGAAAGGTCTCAGAATGGCTCACTGTATGTCCACAGGTAGACCCCAGATGGGTTAGGGCAGCACCTGCCCACAGGAGGAACTGTCTACAAGCTCTGCCCTCCTGAGGGTGCCCCTGGAATGGAATAGGAATGGAGGGAGGAGGGAGGCAATGAGAACCACGGAGGAAGGCTCTTCCCAGCGATGCCACCCCCACATAGCTCGGGAATAACAGCCAGCATTTTTGGAGGGGGCCACATCTCCTCACATGCCATGAAAAGGCTTCTAGCCCTTGGCCTGTACCCACATTTGCACTTGAGTGGGGCGGGATGGACAGAGGTCCTTACTGGCCCTTGGTTCTGCAGAGAACTCTGTGGGAGATTGAAAGCCTTCCCCAGTCTCAGCTGGGACACCCCCATCCGCACCGGCTTCCCCCTTACCAAAACAGGAAACAACAGCAACATTGTGGGGACCATCACAGTCCCCTCCCCAACCTGGTCCCTCAGCATCCCAAGACTGGTTGCAAATGTTCAAAAGGCCCCTCTGCAGAAAAGTATATTTTGTCACTCAGCCATCTCCTCCCACCCCGCACCGCCCCCCCCCCCCACCACCAGAGGATGCTATTTTAGCAAACCCAGGTCACAGATCTCCCTGAGGCATATTTATTTTTGTAACAGACTAGTTGCGAAGTACAGCGCCCCATCTCTCCTCTGCCTTCTCTCTCTCTGAGCGTTCCAGAGAGCATCATCCGTGGTTGTGATGTGGACGCGGCATAGCTCCTGCTGATCCGGCTGGCCGTGTGGTTGAGATCCCTGTCCGCCCCGTGTGTCTCTGTGTCCTGGAGTGGGAGTGAGTGGAGTCTGCCTGTGGAGTGTTCTCTCTCGTTGTCAGTGTTGTCCGTGTATCTCGTGTTTACTGAAGATTTGTGTCTGCATATGAGGAAAATATATATGAACGGAGAAACCCATGAATCTATGTCATGCTTGTTCTGGGGCATTTTTTTTTTAAAACCACCACAGGATGCATGGGCCAACGGTCTGGGTTTTGTTTTTGCTTTTAAGGATTTACATGTTTATATATTTGAAAGGAACAGTGACACAGACAAAGAAATCTTCCATCTGCTGGTTTACTCTCCAAATGGCCACAATAGCCAGGGCTGGGCCAGGTCAAGGCCAGGAGCCAGGAGCTTTACCTGGCTCTTACATGTGGGTGTCGGAGCACCCAAGTGTTAGGCTCATCTTCTGCTGTCTTCTTGGGTGCATTAGCAGGGAGCTGGATTGGAAGTGGAGCAGCTGGGACTTGAACTGGAGCTTGGATATGGGATGCTAATGTCAAAGGCAGTAGTTTCACCTGTTGCACCACAATGCCGGGTCCTCAGAGCCTGACTTATAAAGAAGGAGGTTGCGGGCCCGACATGGTGGCCAAGCGGCTAAAGTCCTCGCCTTGAATGTGCTGGGATCCCATATTGGTGCCGATTCTAATCCCAGCAGCTCCACTTCCCAACCAGCTCCCTGCTTGTGGCCTGGGAAAGAAGAGGAAGTGAGCTGGCCAGCCAGTACTTCCAGGCTCTGGGACCAGCACCTTCCCCTACTGTATGTGAGGCAAGATAGATCCTTACCTCCCCACCCTCCACTCTGGCACAAGATCTCGTCCCTCACAGTGAGTCACTGAATATCTGATGGAAAAATGAGTAACTAAAATTCTAAAGGCAGGGGAGAGGAAGAACATGCAAACATTCCCTAGTATTCATGAAGAGACGTACCGTCTGCACACCAGCTATGTATTCAGAATTGTCTCAGGCACTTTTTAAAAAAGATCTAGTTATTTTTATTTGAAAAGCAAAGAGAAAGGAGGAGGCAGAGATCATTCATCTGCTGGCTCACTCCCCAAATCGCCACAACGGCCAGAACTGAGCTGACCTGAGCCCAGGAGCCCCTTCTGGAGTCTCCCACGCAGGTGCAGAGGCCCAAGGACTTGAGTCATCCTCCACTGCTCTCCCAAGCCGTAAGCAGGGAGCTGGATCAGACTTGGAGCAGCGGGACATGAATCAGCGCCCATCACGGGTGGAGGCTTAGCCGGCCACACTACAACACCAGCCCTGGCACTTTTCTTAGTACATTTAATCCCCCCGCCCACCATCCTCTGATGACACAGATAGTTGATGTTGATTGAGCATTATATGTCAGGCATGATTCAATGTGCTCTATGTACAGAAATGTCTCCGATGAACTCTCCCAACAGCCCTATGAGGTAGGCACCTTTCACCTTCCAGGTTATGAAAGAAAAAGAAATGTGTCCCAAGAAGGGAAGCAACTCTCGTGAGGTCACACAGCAAGGAAGAGGTGATGGCAGTGGGGATGGACGTGGCTGTGTGGTGATCTCATGTAACGTGGGCTCGTCCTGCTCTTCTGGGGGATTTTCATGTGTTCATTTCTGGCATAAGGACGATTCTCTCTGAGTCTCTGGAGAAGACAATGACCCTTCCCTGGACCGTGGTCTTTTGGGGCCATCTCATCATGGGCAGAAGGCTGGAGAGGACTGCGTTGAGGATCGCTGTCACATAGCCCCAGCCCAGCTGGCACTTCCCTGCGTAGTAGAGGGAGGAGGTCTCGCAGGCTTCCTTGGCAAACGGGGAGGCCAGGCTGATGGGGAAAACCAGCAGGCCCAGAATGGTGCTGGCTGCTGGAAACAGACCATCCGTTTGTCAGTTTAGGAACATGGGGCTCACCTTCTTCCCAGGAGTCATCTACCTCTCCATCCCTTCCTCCCTCTCCACCCATCTATCCATCTCCCCACTCAGCCATCTGCCCCTCCCACTCACCCATCCTTTCTCCAACCATCCAGTTCACCTTTTTCCCCCAATGTCCTTCCATTCACTTATCCAGCAGTTCACCCATCCACATATCCACTTAACTCATTCATCCTTTCACCTGCCCATTGCTCCATGCTTGCGTTCATTCATCAGAATTGTCAGAGGCAGATACAGTCATGAGAAAGAAAATCAGAGTCCAATGGGATGCCACCTCCTACCCTTTAGAACAATTACTGCTAAACAAAATGAACCTGCAAATAAATGTTGGGAAGGATGTGGAGAAACTGGAGGTCTGGGCACCACTGGGAGAGTGACCAGAGGACATACCCACACATACATGCTCCCTGTCACGTCCTGTGATGCCCTGCACTGCCCTGGGGACTCTGCCAGGAAGAAGAACCACTACCAACTGCAAGCCCTTGACCTTGAACCTCTAGGACTATGCGCTGAAGAAACCTCTCTTCTTTGTAAGATGACCCAGTTTCAGATCCTTCGCTATAGTAACACAAACTGGACAAAGAAATGCTGGATGGACCAATGAGAATCAACCCTCCCTCAGCGAGATGTGTGCAAGCCAGCCAGCCAGAACAGGGGCTGTGTTTTCACCCAATGATCCTGCAGCTATCTTGGGGCACCTGTTAGGCGTGCAGCACCATACCACAGGTGGGCAATCTCAAGGTCATGCACATGGCCTCACCTATGGCGAGCCATGTTGTAGTGCATGGAGGAGGCCAGTGACGCAGGGACTGGATGAGAAGTCTCAGGTGTATGACCTCATGCTGTGAAATACACAAACCCAAGGCAGAGAATGGAGATGTTAGGGAGAGGGGACTGCAGGCAGGGAGAGAGAGATGACGCATGTGAGCCACTACCACCAGCCAGCCCAGGGGCCTGGGCACACCGATGTGGCAGGGCAGGGAGAACAGGTGCCAGGCAAGGGAGTGGGGCTGGGGTCGGGTGCAGCCTCTGACGCCACAGTAAGGAGTTTAGATTTTCCTCTGAGTGTGACAGGAAGCCACTGGAGGATGGATAAGCCAGTGGTGGCAGCGATGGCTTAGCACAGTAATCCAGGGGAGAGGTGGTGGAGAGTTCACTGGATGACAGCTGCGATCAGCAGCTGGGCTAAGCATCCAGAGGCCATGTGTGACTTAGAGAGGGGCAGCCTGGCAATGCACAGCTTTGCGAGCAGAGCGTGGGCTGGATGTTGGCTCTCAGCTCTTATCCTGACACCTTTGCGCAGTGTACAACCTCCCCAATTGAGCATGGTGATCCCAATAAAGATGCCACAAAGGGAACAGATGAGAAAGAAGCAAAGAGGGACAGACTGTGGGAGTGGGCTGGCAAAGGGCAGGGGTGCATGGCATTAAAATGCCATCTCTCCTTCCCCTCAACTTGTGCCTTGCTGAAGGAACACTATTTATCTCTAAGATCTTGACCCAGGAAGCCAGACTCGACTCATAGACTCATTCGTGCCTTCCTTCATTCACTGCATACATCTGCCCAGAGAATTGCTAGGTTGCCAGTGGATTTACCTGCCGCTGCCTGCACTCCTGGCATGGGGCCACCGCCCCTTCTGTGGCACAGCCCCTTGGGAGCAAGGGCCCAGGACAGGAGGAGAAGGGCATTGAAGGCCAACAGGAGCCAGCCTCCAAGGAGCATCACGACCGAGACCTGCCGGGAAGACAGCAGGGGAGGAGCTGGGATGGGGGTAGGTCCACGGTCCCTCTGCTGGACAGCTACAGCCCCTCCTGCATCCCCCACCATGGTGCCATTGCCAGGGGGAGGCAAACAGAAGGCCAGGAAATGAGCCATTTGCCCGAGGACACACAACTACTACCAGGTTAGAGCCAGAATTCAGCTCCAGGGCCCCTGAGCCCCCTGAGCACTGTATCCCACCTTTATGAAGCCCTGTCACCTGTCAGAGTCACCCGGAGAGGTGCCTGCTGGGCGCTGCTGGGTGCTGCCGGGCACTGTGACAGCATTCTGGAGAAGTTCAGGCTTGTCTGTGTACTTCCCTCCACGCCCCAACACCCTGCTCAACCCCGCCACTTTAGCTACCATGTGAGCAGCCAGCACTTGAAAAAAAAAATACTTATCTGGAAAACAGAGATGGAGAGAGAAACTCCGAATGTTGGTCCACTCTCCAAAATGCCTACAAGAGCCTAGGCTGAGCCAAGGAGAAGCCAAGAGCCAGGAGCTCCTTCCAGGCCCACCTTGTGTGTGGTAGACTCAGTGATTGGACCTGCTAGGTGCATCAGCAAAATGCTAGAATGGGAAACGAGACAGACTCGAATCCCTAGTTTCTCGGTAAGGGAGGAGAGTGTCCCAGGTGGTGTGTTAACTGTGGCCTCAAACACTCATCCCTCTGAAGTTCAGTTCTAAAGGGTTCTATCGTCTTCCTGAGAGGTGCTGGACTGGCGGGAGGGTGCTCCTTATTCATTGTCTTCCTTGTGGATTTTAATGATGTTCGTTGTTATATGCCCTTTAACACCTCAGCTCTCAGTTTCACACCCAGCATGCTGGGAGGCTGGCCACGTAAGCATGTTCAGGTTGTTCACTGCACAGCTGCAGGAGACGCCCTTAGGGAGGTCTAGGAGCTGGAGTCACCGGATTTGCTCAATAGTTACAAGACGTGACCAGCAGAGGGCGGTGTAGCGCAATGAGGAAGGGGCACCTTTTTTTTTTTTTTTTTTTTAATTCCACGAAGGTGCAATTAAGGGCTTGCAGGTGTTGTTGGCATCCCAGGCATTTGCAAAAGAAAAAAAAAAAAATCCCAGGCAGGCAGACCTCACCCCTCACCTGGAGAGTAAACGTCTCTGAGGAGGGGTCAGGGGAAGCTCAGAACTTGGCAGGTCTGCAGAGTTCCGCAGGTGTTCCTGAGCGGCCGGTAAGTATAAGAACTTCTTACGGAGACCAGTGCTGGGCTCCTGGCACTGGAACTCCCCGGCGGGGGGCGAGCAAAGGCCCCCCAGTGCCCATTCTGCAGAGCCAACCAGTCCTGTGCCCAGGGAGCCCAAGTCTTACCTTCCAGGCAAAGTCAGGAATATCCTGCAGGGACCCAAAAGTCTCACAGCTCTGGTTCCAGCTGTCGTCCTGAGGTGAGGAGCAGTAGGTGAGGATGCCAAAGGAGAAACTGGGGGTCTGCAGCCATGCCGGGGAGACAAGGCTGAGAGCGGAGATGCAGGTCAGGGTGAGCCCCAGAGCTGCCCACACGCTGCCCACCATGAGGACGTGCCAGCACCCTAGGGGTCAAGGGCAGGGTTAAGTGGTAGAGACTGGCAAAGCAGAGAAGCAGAGGCAGGCAGAGGTGCTCCGCAACCCGGAGTGTGCTCCTGTGGCCTGAGCCCAGGGCAGTGGCCACTTCCGCCAGGCTCTGCTCGGAGCAGTGGGAGGGGCAGGGCACCTTGTCCTGTCTCACGAGTTCAGGACGCAGAAGTCCCAAGTTCTAGAATAAATATTAGCACTTCAACAGAGCCAGCTTTGCTGCCCACTCCTCTGTCCGTTCTTGGTCCATGCTTCATGCCCTCAGCCCAACAAGCCCTCTCTGTCCCAAAGCAGGTGCTTCTATCCAAAGGCTGTGCTTCTGGCAGTCGCCCTGCCTGTGAACTAACTGTCCCCAGACAGCAAAGCATCCAAACTGCCTGATGCTCACACCTTGGCTGGAGAGGGCTTCTTGCAAAATGAGGAGTGAGGTGTGTGAGTGCTTCTCATTTAAGCCAATGGTATTAGTTTTTGTAAAGATGTGTTTATTTTTATTAGAAAGTCAGATATACGGAGAGGAGAAGAGACAGAGAGGAAGATCTTTTGTCAGCTGATTCACTCTCCAAGTGACCACAAGGGCCTGTGCTGAGCCGATCCAAAGGCAGGAGCCAGGAGCTTCCTGCGGGTCTCCCATACAGGTGCGGGTTCCCTCCCAAGGCTTTGGGCTGTCCTCTACTGCTTTCCCAAGCCACAGGCAGAGAACTGGATGGGAAGTGGAGCAGCCGGGATATGAACCAATCCTATATGGTATCCTGGAGCGTGCAAGGAGAGGACTTTAGCCACTAGGTTATCATGCTGGGCCCAATGGTATTACTTTCAAGGTTGCATCCTGTATCCTACTTCTGGCACTATGTGTAACAGGTGTAAGGTTCACTGGTGGTGCTGTCTGCACCTGTTCTGTGGGTCTTGATTTGGGTTTTCCTAGGGACAGACCCTACCTCCTAATATCATTGCATCATATTTATGCGTGCGTGTGTTGGGGTGGGGTGGTAAAGATTTCACTATATATATTTTGGAATGACACACAATTTCAATCCAGGGGTGGGTGTTTGACCTAGTGGTGGTTCTGATGCCAATGAAGACACCCTCATCTCCCAACTCCAGCTCTTGGCTCCCTCCTCCTGCCAATTCACACCCTGGCACCAGGCGATGACTCGAGTGGCTGGGTTCCATGTGGAAGATCTGGACCAAGTTCCTGGCTCCTGACTTCCGGTCAGCTGTGCCCTGGCTATTGTGGGCCTCTGGGGGAGGGAACTGGTAGATCAGGGAGCTGGGTGTGTGTAAATGCACCTGTATCTTTTTGTCACTCTGCTGAGAAGAAGCCAAAACCTACAGAGTCCATAGCAAGAGTCTAAGCAGTCGGTGAAAGGGGTTATGTTTGTGTCTTTTGGCCTTGTTTGTGCTGCCACACTACTGCCTGGATGACACAGAAAGAACATCTTGCAGAGGGGAAGCTAAAAGTTTCACAGCATCTGGCAATGACACCTGCTTGGCATGCCCTGGCACCTCCCCCCAGGGGACACACTGCAAGGCACATGCCTGCTTCCACTTCTCTTTCTCCCCTTAGGAATCCATAGGGGTGGGGGCCCACCTCCCAAACATCATCCAAACTCTAATTCTCTCCAAGCGCCCTGCCTCCAAGCATCATTCCCAGAGAGATTGAGGATTCAGCAACAACCCCCACCCCACCCCGCCCTGCCACCAGCAGCATGCTGCTATTTTTCTAATGAAAGGTACCATAATAGTGATAATAACAAAAGCAAGCCAAAGCAAGTTTTACCCAGGTGAAAACAGAGTAGGCTGCATGGTGGGCTGAGGTGGGAAGATGGCATGCTACCAACCAACCCCACACAGGAGGGAGACCTAGAAGGGTCACCCTGCCCAAGGACATGAAGGGTCAAAAGCTGCTGAGCTGCCCGTCAAGCAGGACAGAGACTCCCTGGGGCCACTGTGCTATGACCTTGCCTTTCACTTTGGCATGAAAAGTCTGGACAGCCCTTTCCACCATGGCCAGAATCCCAGCCATCCTAGGATTTCCCATCTGAGGGAGCTGGGGCAAGGTAGCCAATGGCCTGCCTCAGTTTCTCTGTCTGAACCAGAATAGGAGAACTCTCCTGGGATGAGGGTAGTGGTGGGCTCTGTCCTTCAGCATGGTGAAGTGATAGAGACTCAGAGGCCTGGATTTTCCCCCTTTCCAGCTATCTGAGCTTGAGGAGGGGTCCACCTCACTGGGACACAGGGTTGGGAGATCTCACGAAGTCCAAGGTTAAAGTGTGTGTGTGTGTGTGTGTGTGTGTGTGTGTGTGTGTGCACGCGCACATCTCTGTGTATGTGTGTTGGGAGAAGGGGTGTGTAGGACAAAATCAAATTGCACTGGCTTTTGATTCCCGGATTAGACAACCCTCCAGGCTGCTGGGCAGCAACAGAGATGTTGATCTCACTCTTTCTTTTTCCCCACTCTGCCCCAGTCAGTCTCACCTGCGGGTTGGCAGGGCTCCAGGGGGGTAACTGCTGCTGGGGAGCTGGCCTCTCTCTGGTTGCACTTGTGGCCTCTTCTCCTCCCACCCCCACCCTGTCGTGTTTCTGACCTTGAAAGGAGTTTTGTTCTCCAGATAATGCTCAATGTCACCTGGGAAAATCACGCCAACTGTGCAGGTGCCCAGAAACCTAAATGAAGGCTAACAATCTGAAACCACATCCGGCCAAGGTTGCACTTGGCTGAAATCCACCTAGGGGAAACTCAAAACGGACAGAATATGTTTTCATTCCACTTGATACTGAACTTCTTAATAGTAGTCACCAACCCACCCATCCATGTATCCTTTCATCCATCCACCCATTCATCCATTTACTGATCCTCCCTCAACCATCCTTCATCCTCCATCCATTCACCCACGCACCCACGCACCCATGCACCCACCCATCCTCCACTTACCCATCCATCCACCCATCCTCCCACTCATTCATCTACCCATTCACCCAACCATCCATCCACCTATCCTTCTTTCTTTCCTTCCTTCTTTCCTTTCTTCCTCCTTCCCTCCCTTCTCCCTCCCTCCCTCGTTCCCTCCTCCCATCCAGCAACAAATATTTACTGAGCATCTACTATGTTCCAGGAACTGTCCTAGGTGCTGGGATGTAGGAGAACATTGTGACCCTAGAAGGTCAACGAACACAGGATTACAATTGTTTGGATGACATTTGTATGAGAACAACCGAATGGATACTTTTTGTATAACTGATTGGATATTATTTGTATGAGAACAGCTGAGTGACAGCATGTGAATGAGAACACTTGGAATATACAAGAGTTCCAAACAAAAGTATAGAAACAGTTGATGGGTTTGTTGATGAGCTCAATACCATCTCCCTTATCCTATATGATCCTCTGTGTATAAAGTCTGATGCCACTCATAAACTTCAGCTATTGACAGTCGGTCAGAATCCATGCGTGTGATTATTGGCTCCATGCACCAAGTCCATCGCTGCAGGACAGTGACAAGTGGTGCCACAATCAATTGTAATCCTGTGCTCGCTGACCTTCTAGGGTCACAATGTCCTTCTACACTGGGGTACAGAAAACAGACAAATCCCCTCCTTAAGGAATTCTAGGGAGGACGGGGAGAGAACAAGGAAAGAAGTTAGTCACCATTTAGTCAGCAGGTGTTAGCATGTGTCATAGATGTGACTGGGGGAATGTCATAGAAAACCTCCTGAGGGCCCAGCATGACAGCACAGTGGTTAAAGTCCTCGCTTTGAATGTGCCAGGATCCCATATGGACACCGGTTCTAATCCTGGCATCCCTGCTTCCCAACCAGCTCCCTGCCTGTGGCCTGGGAAAGCTATCGAGGATGGCCCAAAACCTTGGGATTCTGCATCCCTGTGGGAGACCCAGAAGTTGACTCAGGGCTCCTGGCTTCGGCTCAGCTCAGCTCCAGCTGTGGCAGGCACATGGGGAGTGAATCAACAGACGGAAGATCTTCCTCTCTGTATATCTTTCCAATAAAAATAAATAAGTAGATAAATAGCAGCAGTGTGTGATCTGGGAAAACGTCTCCTTCCCGTAGAAGGGTACATTCCAGCTGGTGAAAGAACAGGGCCACCAGAAGCTGCCTGCACAGAGGTGTGTGGATTTCCCTTCCCAGTTTCTTAAAACCAGGGCCTTGCACTCTGGGGCTGCCAGGGCGGCCTGGGCTAGGAGGGAAATGCCAGCTGCGGGTGGGGCTGAGTGAGGGTGTGGTGTCCCTTGGGGACAAGAGAGAGGCACAGGTGCGGATTAACTGGGCTACAATTAGACGCCAGGTGTGGGAAGCTTTCAGCTTGAGCTCCCTCCCCTTCCAACCGGCGGAATTCGAGTCCACGGATTTCTCACGGGAGACACCCTGTGTCTTAAACAGCTCTGTCTCTAGCAACTAGCAAAAGACATGGCGCACAGTAGGGGCAGCCTTTTGCTGCAAGTGACCGATGTGTGAACTCAAGCTGTATCAAGGCGGAAATAAATCACCTTTGTTTTGGGCTCACATAACTGAAAATTCCATGGGACAGCTTCAGGAACAGCTAGACCCAGGTAAATGAGCCAGGCCTCTCCTTGCTGCACCTCTTAGCTCTGTTTTTGGCTTGGCCGGCTCCAGGCTGCCACACCCTGGGGCTCAGCAACCTCAGAGGAGAGAAAGCTCCTCCCCACAGTGAGTGAAGCCGTGAAGCCAAGTGCTGTGATTGCCTTTCTCTGGACAAAATCAGGTCACATGGACACCCACCAACCAATCACAGAAGGGTCAGGCACATGCAATGCTCAGATTGGCCAGACTTGGGTCCTGGAGGTTGGGAACTGAAGTGTGGACATTGGAGATGGGGCTAGGATGGTGTGAGCATCATTCCTTGCAAGTTCACGGGTGGAGCTTGGGATGTGCATGACAGCAAAGGAGGGACAGATGGGACTAGGGGTGGCCTCAAATGTCCAGGGGACACTGGCAGAAAAAGATAGCCGCAACCCTTGAT